GCAAGCAAATTACAGAAAAATCAAGAAGTGTTCCGTTGTTGTACCTGAAATAAGGGGGAAATAATTTGCCCAGCCTGCATGGTAGGGGTATACTAGTTGCCGCTGCCACACTACTTTGAGGAGGTGAAGGATTTTACGGCAGAAAACCTAACCGCCACATACATCCAACAAGGCAAGACAGTTAACAAACATCACCTTATTCATATTCACACCACTCTCATTGTACGATCGTCCTCCTGTTCTGGTGTGTCCTGTTCTAGTGAGTCCACACTGGGAACCACTGACTGGCGAGCAAATCAATCGTCACAACCAGGACGCTTACTTGGTCGTCGTTTGATTGGCTTGGCACACTAATCAAATCACTCAAACATGAAAGCGTTTGCCTGTTTAGACGTGAAAGTTCGGGTGCTTCCAGCGTGCGTTGGTGGAGTAGTGATAGCACGCTCGCCTCACATGTCAGGTGTCCAGGGTCCAGATCCCGACACAGCCGTCGGATACGCACTGCTGATCAGCTGTAATGAGAGTAAAGCTCGAGTTCAGTGCTTCCCTTCGGTGTGGACTCACCAGAATACTTAAGCCAGAATAGGAGGACGACCGTTCAAAAGAGCGTTGTGAATATGAACAAAGTACATGTGCCGCAAAACCCCAACTGAACTATGAACTTAACTAATAAACAAAATTTACCTTCGTCCTATTTAGCGCATTCACTTATGGAACTCATCTCGAAATCCGGTGATGCTGATCGTTGGTCTGTCCGGGGAGTTCCCAGTGAAATTGCAATTCAGCAATATATGACAGTGTTCGCTTCGCACCCAGTCGATGATCGACTCTTCACAGGCACTTTCAGATTAGCGGCAGATACCGCATACGCCTACGTGTCTTCTTTGTTTGATTTCTAATTGCTCATTCCTTTTGACAATGGCCTGAAAACACATGTGCAACGACGAAGACTCAGGCAGATTTCCTTTTAGTATACCAGTTGGCAGATACGACCCGGCTAATCGTTTATTAATCAGGTGTCATAGCATGTTTCCGAGCATGCATCGTCGCGGTCAGATAACTAATGCTCGCCGAGGTACGGTCAGCACTCCTGATCCCGGCTTATGATAGGCGCGCCATAAACCTCAAACTAGTTCACTTCTCTACAGTGCACCACTTTACCGGACCAGGCAAACAAAATTTTTTTATCCGATTGAGTCACTTCCTTAAGCTTGTTAATTCTAGCTTTTAAGCTTTGTAGCATATGAAAAGAAAAAAGCATCATTCTCACAAAGTGTTCCACAGAAATAACGTAAAATTCCTGTGACTCATTTTGGATAAACGGGTTGAACCCACTACGATCAACACCATTACAATAGGCGATTACCATATACCACGGGTGGTGACCACCTCTGTTGCACTGCTACGTCAAATCTGCTTGAATTACATCACCATGCTCCGCAAACGAACGCGCAGGCGCAAAGAAGTAAACAACAAGACATTGAAACCACCATCACCCAAAACAGACACAGCCATGGGTCGAAATGGGCGCAACGTCTCTCGGATACCCTGAAGATCACAAACAGGCTCATTCAAGTGGCGATGCTTATTGTGCAGGACCCGCATATCATTACGTGTTAAGTCGTGGATTTCCATGGAAGACCTCAACAAACGAAACACTACACATACATGCTGGGTGTTTAGATACCGGTTTGCAGCATACACTTGCCAGTGAGACCTAATCAGGTCATGCGAATGTTGCGTGTTGAAACTGACCAACGCTAAACAACCGTCAGGGTGAACCACACGTCAGGACCGACAGTCAGGTCAGCATACCTAAACATAAGTTGGATGATTACACAGACAACTATCAACATGCCGAGGACCCTCTTTATTAGCGTCCCATTGTGGACGCGCACGCAAACATTTGTATACCAGAAACGCATAATCGACGGCTGGTGCAAGTAATCAACCCACATTCCGTTCATATTTTGCTGCAAATAAATTTCATCGGCGGGGGTAACACGTGCCTTTTTCCCGTTGCAATTCTCACGGTTTGGACTCGAATTCCACGAAGGAACCGCACTCCCGACCGGGAAGATCTGCCTAGTTGTGTCACGTTCATCCAGAGATATATTCTGTGAGCTTGCAAGACATAACACTAAAAAATCTAGTGAATGAGATACTTGTCTTGGGCTTAATGAGCCCCAGCTGTACCGTGTTTGACACCGTACTAGTAGCTTTGGCATACCGCAGACACCCGGAATGCAAGCTGAACAAGCGAGGAATGATCATTTGTAGCTTCACACCGGTTTTTATACCATCCTAACATAGAGCCCCCATTGGCCTTGAAAATTTAGTAGCGCGGTCCAGACCGAAATCCCTCTACCCTGTGCATTAATCCTTGAGTCGTTTGACTGCACTAACATCTTATTTACTTGCGATACGCGCTCGAATTTTAGTTGTGAAGGTCATTTGCGGTCGGACCGGTCATTAGGAGGAAAACCATATAATCTCGTAGTATTTATTGCTGCCTGCTCCTACTCAACCTCCACGAAGGTACTCTTTTCCAATTGTACACTGTGGTTCGTGGGTAGAGTGCATCGGTCCTGAGGCTAACATCAAATCGCTTTGAGTACGCCGATGAATATGAGTCAATAGAAGACCGATACGGAAACGAAAACGTCTGTTCTGCTGACGCTTACAGGCAGCTAAGAGTCAGAGTACAGCCTTGAGGATATCCAACACGTCTCCGTTGCAGAAATCTGGAAGTGTACAACGTTTTACACTAGTGTTTTACACCTAGCGTACGCTATGTGTGCGCTTATGTCCACAGGATTCGTAAGGAGAATGACATGCTCATACTGGTCACTGATAACGTGGCAGTTATGCATGTACTAAGAGGTGAATAGTTTGCAGACCTGTTTCACCAACATGGATTTACCAGCGGGTGATAGCCACACGAACCAGTTACAACTTACGTCACACGTTACCTGTTCGATTCCATAGGTGCGTCAACTTTGAGTGCTGGACGTCCACGAAGATGAGTTCTACTCCCTTGATTTCAGCGGAACCTAAGTTCCTGGAGGTTAGCTACAACAGGAGGATCGATACGATCGTAATAGTACTGGATTCCCTACTATTCGTTTCGTGAATACTCTTCACCGCAGAGCTGAAAGTATGCAGAGAAATGTTTACTTCTGATGACAGTGCAGGGCCTCTGTGGGGTACAGATGCAGTTTCCCAATGAATGATGGAAACTATACAAACCCTATGCGAACAGGAGGCTTATTACCGTTGGATCTGGCGAGGTGATTAAATGGTTAGAGCGCAAACTTACTGACCGGAAAGTCCATGGTTCGAACCTAACCTCCGCCTCGAATTTCTCCATCTAGGCTTGGACAGCACAACAGTGTCCCGGCCGTCGTGCTTCCTTTTAGTGGCGTGGCAGTTAGGCACCGAAAGGATGTTACAGCTAGATACCGGTTTGCAGCATACACTTGCCAGTGAGACCTAATCAGGTCATGCGAATGTTGCGTGTTGAAACTGACCAACGCTAAACAACCGTCAGGGTGAACCACACGTCAGGACCGACAGTCAGGTCAGCATACCTAAACATAAGTTGGATGATTACACAGACAACTATCAACATGCCGAGGACCCTCTTTATTAGCGTCCCATTGTGGACGCGCACGCAAACATTTGTATACCAGAAACGCATAATCGACGGCTGGTGCAAGTAATCAACCCACATTCCGTTCATATTTTGCTGCAAATAAATTTCATCGGCGGGGGTAACACGTGCCTTTTTCCCGTTGCAATTCTCACGGTTTGGACTCGAATTCCACGAAGGAACCGCACTCCCGACCGGGAAGATCTGCCTAGTTGTGTCACGTTCATCCAGAGATATATTCTGTGAGCTTGCAAGACATAACACTAAAAAATCTAGTGAATGAGATACTTGTCTTGGGCTTAATGAGCCCCAGCTGTACCGTGTTTGACACCGTACTAGTAGCTTTGGCATACCGCAGACACCCGGAATGCAAGCTGAACAAGCGAGGAATGATCATTTGTAGCTTCACACCGGTTTTTATACCATCCTAACATAGAGCCCCCATTGGCCTTGAAAATTTAGTAGCGCGGTCCAGACCGAAATCCCTCTACCCTGTGCATTAATCCTTGAGTCGTTTGACTGCACTAACATCTTATTTACTTGCGATACGCGCTCGAATTTTAGTTGTGAAGGTCATTTGCGGTCGGACCGGTCATTAGGAGGAAAACCATATAATCTCGTAGTATTTATTGCTGCCTGCTCCTACTCAACCTCCACGAAGGTACTCTTTTCCAATTGTACACTGTGGTTCGTGGGTAGAGTGCATCGGTCCTGAGGCTAACATCAAATCGCTTTGAGTACGCCGATGAATATGAGTCAATAGAAGACCGATACGGAAACGAAAACGTCTGTTCTGCTGACGCTTACAGGCAGCTAAGAGTCAGAGTACAGCCTTGAGGATATCCAACACGTCTCCGTTGCAGAAATCTGGAAGTGTACAACGTTTTACACTAGTGTTTTACACCTAGCGTACGCTATGTGTGCGCTTATGTCCACAGGATTCGTAAGGAGAATGACATGCTCATACTGGTCACTGATAACGTGGCAGTTATGCATGTACTAAGAGGTGAATAGTTTGCAGACCTGTTTCACCAACATGGATTTACCAGCGGGTGATAGCCACACGAACCAGTTACAACTTACGTCACACGTTACCTGTTCGATTCCATAGGTGCGTCAACTTTGAGTGCTGGACGTCCACGAAGATGAGTTCTACTCCCTTGATTTCAGCGGAACCTAAGTTCCTGGAGGTTAGCTACAACAGGAGGATCGATACGATCGTAATAGTACTGGATTCCCTACTATTCGTTTCGTGAATACTCTTCACCGCAGAGCTGAAAGTATGCAGAGAAATGTTTACTTCTGATGACAGTGCAGGGCCTCTGTGGGAGATGGATGCAGTTTCCCAATGAATGATGGAAACTATACAAACCCTATGCGAACAGGAGGCTTATTACCGTTGGATCTGGCGAGGTGATTAAATGGTTAGAGCGCAAACTTACTGACCGGAAAGTCCATGGTTCGAACCTAACCTCCGCCTCGAATTTCTCCATCTAGGCTTGGACAGCACAACAGTGTCCCGGCCGTCGTGCTTCCTTTTAGTGGCGTGGCAGTTAGGCACCGAAAGGATGTTACAGCTGCTTCCTGTGGTTCGGGCCCGGTCGACAGTCAGCGCATCCCAAGTGATCGATAATTCACACAAAATATCTCCATTTTGTGCGATAGTTCGATTGGGCGTGACAACGAGAAAACAGTGGATATCAGGACGTCAATCCTTCCCCAGCTCTGGACCTTGAGACGATGATTTCCCGCATGATCAGAGGAAGTTGTTAAAATCCTCTTTCCAACCGATGTTCAGCGCTACTTATGTACGCTAGGGAAATTTTTCGCATGCCTATTCGAAGTCTGGAAACCAGTAAGCCACTTACCCTGCGCTACCATGACCATCTTGAACATGGCCATAATAGATTATTCTCGTTTGTCTGCATTGTCATAAATGACCTAATTCTGGTCTAAGGATATTGAATGTTAGATTGTATCGATCTATACGGCATTTGTTCGTGGTGGTTGGTAAGAATAGCATGTTTTATCGTCGTTACAATTTACAGGTGAGGCCAAACGGTGGGCTTCCGTCTGTGTCATTTGTCAAAAAGAGTAAGCAAAACATAATTCACCATGGGTCATCGAAGCCAAGTTGCGGGCGCATTTCAAAGTACAGTTGAACACTATAATGAAAAAAAACGAACAACTCCCGGGGCGAATAATCCTACCTGGATGCCCAGCTGGGTGATTGATGACGCCGACGCGGAACGCAAGCAGCTCAAATGAACTACGCCCCCGTCTACCTCAACTCCAAATTAAGCTTATCCCATCACTGCGAACAAGACGTTGGTGGACTGTGAAAGACTGACAGGAGTGGGTCAGATGAAAAATCAGGCCGTTTTATAAAAATAAAATCGAATTTATCCATGGTACTATCGTCGTTGACTGCAGTCACTGTGAAGGTGCTTGAACAAACCGTTGAGAATTTAATTGGGCGTCACGGTCACGGGCGAGGTCTCCTGCAGCACGAACAATGTGAGTTTGTACAAGGGTAGTTGCGCGTTCTAAATTTGATTGTCATCAGCGAGTTTAAGGCTGCGGCACACGAACACTGGCACGCTACTTCTATGGTTCTCTACCTCTCCCAAAGCCTTCGACCGGGTTATTCACACATGCCTGTCGTGCCCTCCCAGCAAGTTTGGCGTCATCCGTCCGTCCTTGAATTAATTTGCGGTTTATTGAGGACGACAGTGGGCAACCAGTTGATTGGCATATTCGAATCTGGTAGTCCAGGCAGTATCAACCTTGTAGACTATCACTCTGTGTGCCCAGCTAGATCCATGAACAACTCAATTTTCGTTTACAGTTTATCTTCCTGAAGTGGATAGAAATTGCATCTCGCTTCCAACCATATGGCTCATGGAAGGATACACTTCCGGTCACACAGCATCTATCAATAAAAGTTACAAAAACTGCCATGTATGGCCTTAGTCTTAAGCTTCCTCTGCACGGTAGCCATATATCGAACAACTCTGCAATTCTGTCCCTCACTAAGTGTTTTGAAATCCTGTTTCTTTGGCCAACCCTTTACCTTATTACTACTTTCAACTTCCATACTCTGTTTCAAATTTGGCTCACAGTCGTACAACGTAACAATCCGTTGAGATTCAGGAATATACTGCTTTGCCCTCATCCGTTCTCAAACCAACGAAAGCGACCGGGCTCTTGGATATTCTCGCATTGACTTAATGTGTTGGACTGCACTCGGATCTAACACAACTTCCGGTCAAACTCAGTTTATCAACTGTAAACCATGTACTGTGGGCAATTGGTTCTAGCTACTACTGTTTCGTTCACAGGAGCGTGGGAGAACATGGACGAGATATCATCGCCATCCTCATCCTCATTGTTATCAGCTGTAAGAATCGCGTACTTGTCGCACAGTGGTCGCAGCCTCCACAGTTTTGTTCACCGATGATTTGGGGAAGTGGGGTAAGTAGTTGCACATTGGAGGACGAGATAACCGAGCATTGGAAGCCCTGACAGGTTCTAAAACTGAGTAGCTAAGCACTGCAGGTAATAAATTTGATGCGAGTGTCACTGGGGTTGCGCCATTTCTGCCACTGTTAATAAACTTGGGCCGGTTGTGCACCGGTAGTCAACCACTGGTCATATTGGTATGTCTTCCGTGCTTAGAGACCACATTTCTGATCCAGAAAGCATTCTGGATCATAGTGTTGCACTTGACAGGCGAACTGACGTCATATCGGCGTTGGAAAAAAGGTACCCTGGCGTTTCCGATTCGAGGAGTAACCTCATCTTAAGTCAGTCCACCGGAATTTTCACAACTGCTCAGGTAAAAAAATTCATTTACCACATTGACTGGCTCGTCTGCAAGCACGAGGTCTGGCCTTGATCTCACCCAGTCTTGTAGCGGCACTTTGCAGGTGTGAGGCGCACACCAAACTCTGGCAGAATTATTTACGCTATTTCAAATGGCTTGCATTTTTAAAGGTCTGAACCAAGCAGAGAAATGTCGTCCGCATATTCATTGTCTGTAAGCGAACGTTCCGGTAGAATGAATGAGTTTTTCTGCTTTGCCACGCGTAGTGCTAGTAGGAAGCGAGGTGATAATCGGACCCAAACAGTGGCATGATCAAAGCAAAGTTGCATTAAATAGATCGTTCAGCTGTAAAACCCTTTACAGGGAAAGCGCAAGTATATTGGCTTCTTTTCAACGGTCGTGATAAGCGGTTGGATAGGGTGATCGAACATATTCTTGGTTATGAATGTTTTCGGATAACCGTTGGTTCGGAGCACGGAGGTAGTCGCTATACGTCTGCGAAACTCGGTACTGTGCTGTCGACAACGTTTCGTAAGAACGTGTGCGTTGGTCTTGTGACACGAATCAACTGGCCAAGCTACTCATCGGCTTTCTAGACTCTCACAGCACCCAACTAGATGCGAAGTGTGGGCGCCGGCAACCAGTCGTTCGTGCCGCCACGTTTTGCGTGGTGCTTATTTCACTTTTCGTCCCTATTTTAACCATTAGATATGTACTGACCTGATGACGAGATCCCGAAGACACTAACGTTCGTCACTGTGTGCTTGAGTTTTTGCAATTGCCCTCCCCCTCATTGTAATACTGTACCATCTTTTATCGGAGCCTCCCATTATTGCACAATTCATGCGAGTATAGATGGCCTGACCTTATTCAAGTAACCACCGCACTGGTATAGACTTTCATAGGAGAGATGCTGTCGGGCAATTACTGCTTAGGAAATAAAACAAGCTCACATCACTCCACTAGTTTACGTTGATCTGATAGACCTTTCTATGTATGCTAGTAACATGATTCAATCCTGCACAACATATGTTGTTATTAGTTGCATTTTCTTCCGGAAGGGTGCCGCCATGTGGTCCTGAGAATTTTTTTTAGCTTTTTCTCTTGGTTTTTACTCACCGTTTCCGAACAGTAAATCGAGTATTGGTTTGACAACGGATTTACCATAGTAAGCTTTCAGCCGCATGTCTGCATTTGGCCAAACTCAGTTTGTCCCTACTCCGTCTTGAAGGTTGACTCTGCTTCTCTCACAACTATTTTTTCGCATCAGATTGTGTCCTTGGTACCAACTTCCCCCTGTCTCTTTGAGTTATGGATGGTTTAATGTACTCCAGTTACAACTTCGTTAATTGAATGACCCGCCTGTTTTCGCCTTATAGTTTCCGTAAGTACATAACTCGATTAGAGGAGTGAATTACCAATGGAATCCCCACTGTGGGATCGTAATCCAGTTGGAGCACCCTTCACTTGCACATTCCTGCAAGCTAGGTACTGTATAGTTGCATGCATGGCCTCTAACCAGGAGTTTTTCAGGCACTTTCAAGTCGTCGTCCCGAAAAAAGTTCTTAGTTTGGCAGAGCGACTGGCGATTCAGGGTGTGTCTAATGGAAAAGCACACTTCGTCGCCAAATTTGTTATACCCGAGAAAAGCCGTGTGGAGTTGGTAGTCAATCGAATCGAATATCCTCTTCAGCCTTGTTCAAATTTCGGCTATCTACCAGATGAGATTCTGTTGCCGATTGAAGTGAGTTCATGAGTCCATGTAATCTTACTTACGCAAAGCTGTTTCAGAAGTCACAAGATGAGCTGGTACTTAATGAAGAGTTCACTTCTTCAGCCCAGAAAATGATAATTGATGTGATTGAGCATAAGCCGAGTGTGGCATTCGGGAAGCTCTTAAGTTTTCGGGCACAGTTTCTGTTGAATAAACCGGCATCTTCTGGGGAGAATATCACTACTCGGAATCTTATCCCACCAATGTGTCATTTTTCTGTTGATGCATTGTCTATCGATTGCCCCCTACGATTTCTGCGTGTACGCACACCGAAACTGATTTCTTCCGCCCTGGCTCGGAGCCTGGAAACCAGTTTACTATTTCCTGTGAACCCCACTCAGACTAAGGAGCTCATTGACCTTGCTGTGGATCTGAGATTCGGGTAAGTACACCTTCTTATATATAACGTCGGACACCAAGTAGATTTGCTTCCTTCCTAATCCGTTGGAAAAAGTTGAGAACCGCTCGGGGAGTTGATTCAAGTTTCACTAAATAATCAGTAGATGTATTGCGGTACAGCATTCAACAACAAGGCTTCATCAGGCGAAATCAGTGGATCACTAGTGCGGTCAGGTTCTAAGGTAGACCCACATCATGGAGGTCCTCCTCGACTAGCACACCAAATCACTGCTGAATTGGTAATGGAAGTCCTGGTTGATTAGTGTGGATCAACAAGTCTTGCGACTGGGGGTTTGACACCAGTGTAGTAAGGTTTGGGTGATTGGCCCGATTTAGGGTGGTTCATTGGCTGACCCTCTTGAGTGCCATTTGTAATTTTCGTTAGTCTCTATGGGTCAGTAAGTGTTGCGAATATGCGAACCTTCAGTCAGCTTGTTTATGTACTTCAGATCCAAGCCACTTCTGTTGATGATTCTTTACTGACAGTCGCATCCCTTATTTAAGATCGCTCTTCACATGTTCACCATCCCTACACCTTTCTTATATTGGCACTGAGATGTTTGGCGATTTCAAGTGCCTCGACCACCAGCCACTGTGATGTGATTATAGCCCTCGCTCCAAAATACGAGCATTCTCTACTTTTATGTTTTGTTCCTTATCTGGTGCAAAAACCCCGCCATCACCGAGTCTATGACTAGTGCTCTATATTATTCTAAGTCTCTTGGTGTTCTGCTTATTCTTTTTTGTGCTCACTGATCACGCTGTGCGCCCCTAGCCATCTGTTATGTGTAGAGATCAGTGTAGTCGTTACGTTTGATTAGGTAAATACAGCCCTTAGTCCCGTCTACTGAAAGGCGTACTTTCAACCGTACCACTGCTGAACGCAGGGTAGTTCCTTCGAATGAAAGGTGTCCCTGGCTTCTGTGGAAGAAAAGATTGTCCATTCCATCGATTGCCTACCGTTCTAAAACGCAGGCTGAGGTTCCCTTGACAAAATACTGCTTGGTAGGCAAAAAGCCTATTTTCAATGTTTGTTTCTTGTTGGGGATGACAGCCAGTAAAAGGTATCGTTTAAATTCAGAATAGGTTTCCCATGAGTCGTCAAACGATCCAGCAACGTGTGCTTGTATGGTGAGAAGGATTTGGGAAGGGGCATCGGTGGACAAAAAACTGTGCAGGTAAGTGATATCTCCCGGCTCCCCAAGCCGATGAAAATAGTTCATTCTATGTACCACACCTTGAGCCTTTAAATAAAAATTCAGACCCTCAAGTGAACAGGAGGATGCAGAATTTCGTTCAGACGCACCGCCCATAGCCTCTAATTCAACGATCTAACCCGCGAGCAGTGCCTTACAGGAGCAAATATATGCTGCTTTTGTTTATGTGGCCAAGCATTCAGCATATCGACTGATTTCTATAAGATTGGATAAATTTATTGTTGTTGGTTGAACTTTAGATTCAGCCAGTCAGAGGGAAGTATGAAACTATCTTCACAATGAAGGATGTATTGTCTCTAAACGTACCTCTGATACCTGCTTTTGCGAGATGACATCAGTGAACTTATTCGTCGTAGGACATTGATAGGGAGGTTTTAATGAATAGATCAGGAACCTTTCCCATGTAAAAGGAAGAGTTAAGAAAGCTGTCATTCGCCAGACATTCCCGAAGAAATCAGACGGTCGTTTACACTTTGAACTGCTTCCTTGTACTTGTATAACAGGATCCTTGTTGCACCCTAAGATAGTTCACTATACCGGGCAGCTCATGTATAACACTCACAGAACCTCTCACACCAGGTTGGGTAGAGGTGGGACCAACAGTCTTCGGTTCTCCAGTTTATATTTTGGAATATGCATCGCAGTTAGCTGCTCTAACGTCTCTACGCCGACCACTGCTGCTTTGCAGTTAGGTTTTTGATCAAAATTCTTTGGTTGAGGACCCTAGTCGTTCTCCTGTCTAAGTCTGAGTGCCCTGGCAGCCCATATACGACCATGAATTGCTAACTTATTTACTATGCCGTCTGTTTAAGGTCACACCATTTCCAGATAAAAAACGGACCGTGTGTAAGTCTAACTTGGACAGTCTGTTTGCTACAGCGCTGGTGATAAAGACAATTTCATTTGCTCTGCCCCAGTTCTTTCAGAGTGATGGTTCTACCCTCTCCGCTGAAAGACCAGTCCCTACATGCTTGTTTTCGTGTAAACGCACAACTTTTCTGTATGCTCGGGTTTAATTGTTCTGACTTCTAATTCAACAAGACTTCCATTTTCCTGTCAAATTATTATTGCGCAAGCCAGCGGACGGGTCTTGACGCCATAATACACGCCTATGCCATTGTCATTCGCATTCCTATTAAACTGTTACCACTTCATTATCTTTTGTTGTACCGATTTCGGGTTTCGTTACGTCCGCAGCTACCTTTCGGTGACCAGCTTCAACGAATTTTCCGTGCATTTGGATTCGGACCCAAGCGCACTTTCTGCCAACCTTGCTGGTTTGTAAGTTCCGTTCCGTTTACTTGTTCTCTGTGACCGGCTGGGGGCACTGAGATATACTATTTTAACCGACTCCAGTCATTACCCTGCTATCAGTTCCCATCCAGAATATTTTACTGACTGACGGAGAATTAGGCATAGTGAGATTTAGGTAAAGCAGCATGTTTGCATGATAGTGAAGTTTTGATCAGTGGTGACCTTTGTGATGACTTTCTTGGGTAGTTCATGTCACAGACATTTAGGGCTGGAGTTAAAAACGACTAGTCTCATTGTCTTTGAGCCGTTTCATTTTTCATGACCAATCCTTTGTTTACACTGGTGGGGAGTGATTGTTATGAATGAACGCAGTTCGCTCAATTTTTTTCTCATTACACTAAGAGCGTTTTCCGAACAAACACCTGGTTTCCTTTATTCTACTACCTTTGAACTCCATGGTTACGCGGAGCGTAATACAGCCTGTATCTGTTTAGAACTCTGGGAAATTCAGGAAATCCAATACCTTCCAGCCAATCAGATAAATTTCCACTAGTCAGTGGCTTCAGCAATGTCACTCTAACAGGTAAACAGATTTAGTGAACGCAATTTTCCGTCACTAATACAAGGCTTTTCTGTGGAGGTATTCAGACCCACGGTATCGTCCGCCCATCGTACGATGTCACGTGAGTGATCCGAGTCAGATAATCCTGCATCCGACCTAGTGCACGGTCCCTATATAGTATGGCTCAACGTGACCACATGCTCTTTAGGCTATCGGGGTTGTTCCATTGCTATCGTCCTCTCATTCTCCTGTTCCCCTCATCCATGCTGATGCTAGCCAACGCAACGACAAAGCGTTCATCACCCTGAATCTTCCTTTTTTCTGACTTGAAGCTTTGGCTCGCCTTGCTATATATAAACGAATTCTGCGCTCAATCTTTTTTTGGATAAAGTGCCTTATCTGCTTAACGACTCTTCTTAATCTTCACCTACGCGCAGCACGAGACTCAACTATTTTGTGGTTTTCATGACTCCTTCTGTATCATCGCACTTAAAAACGGTTTCGACCGTTTTTGGAGTGTAGGTCGCACTTAGGAGAGAAAAATAATTTGTCTTGCTTTACTGGTGTGCACAATTATACAGTTATAAGCGCGAATAGAAGCGAATGGTAAAAATGCTGGGCAAAATGCTTTCGATGAGATTTCAGTTTTCCCTCTGCTCCTGTCCTTAACTCCATACGTATGTTTTAAGCTGTAACTTCAGAACATCTTCCAATCACTTTCGAAAAAGTTTAGTGACAATCGGTAGATCTATTTGTCACCAAACTTTTTCGAAAACGATGACTACCCAATCGGTTTCAAGTATTTTCCACTTGATTGATCTTCCAATCATCTTCTGAATTACCAATACACCTTCCTGCTCTGGTGCACCGTCGGATTACTGGGTCAGTTTAGCGTCCATCAGCGTTACCGTCATGATGATACAGGACCTTACGGTCGTGTGGCGGTTTGTGTACCTCGCCGACCCATTGAGCTATACTGGGGGGTGTCCGCGCGACACTCAGAGTCTCTCATACCTGGTTGGTCCACGGACAGAGGTTTGACGAACAGTCTCCTGGCCCTCCGGGTTGGAGGTTGGATCATGTGTGGCGACGTGTTCCGTAAAAATAGTAATGTACTTGCATTTCCAGCCCAACATTGCTGCCTTGCTGTCAGACTATTGAGCCAAAGACTTTGGTTGAGGTCCATAATCGTCCTCCTGTTTGGGCGTGGGCGCCCTGACAGCATCCCAGCCCTCGTACAACCATAACACAATTAACAATACTCTCGTGCCACATCTACCGTCGCGTGGTGCCATCAGCTGGGGCGCCTTGCTGCATACTGCAGGGCGGATAAACGAAAACATGCTTTTGATGACGCCTTCCTTCTTGCACTTCCACGTTTTCCGTCTTCCACCCTCTCCAGTCCAAATTTAAATACTTTCTCCGCGGGTTCCAGCTCTAGGACTAACCGTTTTGCTCGTTCTGCATCGCACTCAGCTGCAGCTACTGTATATCCGAGTTCAGTCAAACCCTGAAAACCTGTCTATTTAGCCACCTTTAATGTTCGCACACTGAAGCAAGCAGGTCAGTAGGTGGCTCTTACCCATATGCTGGGTTCCCTCTGCAATGATTTATGTTGTCCATCAGAAACAAGGATGCAAGGCGTGAGCACTGTGATCGAACTGACTGCCTTCTCGCTCTCTTCTAGGTTCTGGCTGCGTACCTCTGGTGATGTTAGAGGCCACTTCAAATGAATATGCTGGGGTGGGTATTGTATTGAGCGAACGAGCGGAAGCGTCTCTGCTTGATTGGATACCCGTTGACAGTCGCCTCTGTGCGGTTCGTTTGGCAACATCGGTGAGAGAATCTAGAGGAAGCGAGGTTCGTCGCACCTTGTTTATTATTTCTGCTTACGCCCCAACTGACTGTAGCTCTGAATCTGCCAAGGTCAGTTTCTATGACGCTCTAGGTGCCCTTCTACAACAGGCTAAAATCTCAGATATCGTTGTGGTTGCTGGTGATATGAACGCGTAAGTGGGTAAACCAAGCGCTACTGAGGCCCGGTTAGGTGGTCGTTTTTGTTTGGAAATGAGACGCACGGACAACGGAGACCGCTTACTTCAGATGTGTACCGATCACAGATTGTTCCTTTGCATTGCGAATTTCCGGAACAGCGGAAATCGCTTGACAAAGTGGTGCCCACCCTTCAAACCAGCGCCGAATCCAAATAGACCACATCGCCGTCAGTTATCGGTGGCGAGGGTCGACCCCCCCCTGCCACTTCTTCTGGAACACCAACATGAACTCCGATCATGCACTTGTACGCTGGTGTTTTTCATTGCGCTCTTCAGGTGTACGGAAAGCGCGCACACCTCGCTTAGCCACTGAGAAGCTAGTAGACCCAGAAGTCAAACGAAACTATCAGAACCAGCTCCTCGAATGCCTGCCGGAAGGTACGGTGTCGGATATAAATGGCCACTGGGAAAAAATATCCAAAGCGCTACTCAAAGCCGGAATGTCGGCTTGCGGTACAACCCAGCCAACCTCATCCAAGCATTGGATCTCTGATAGGACCGTGTCTTTGCTGGAGACACGGAAACAGATTCCACCTGGCCGCCACCACAACTCCACCGGGCGCATTATTCGACGCCAGGTGAAAATGAGTGTCCGCTCAGACCGGGAAGCCTGGTGAACCCGAAAGGCCGAAGAAATGGAAGATGCAAAGAATGCTGGAAACGTGCGCAAGCTGTTCCACTTGATTCGTTCGACTGGTCCTCGAAAACCTCTTGTCAGCGAAATAATCAGGGACCAAAATGGCTCTGATATGCAGCAAAGCAGAACGTTTGGACCGCTGGGTGCAATACTTCGAGCAGCACTTCAGTTGGCCATCTGCAACCTCTAATCAGAATCCTGGCCTTCGACAGAAAGGTGGACCGAAAATATGGAGCCGCCTTTAGTCTCAGAAGTATTCGAATGTATTTCTCTACTCAAGCGTCATCGTGCTGCTGGTCCTAACGACCTTCCACCTGCTCTCTTCAAGGATGGCGGTGGATTCCGCAGCCAGTGCCTGTCTAGCCTATTTGGGTCCATCTGGGAGAAGGAGACCGTCCCAGACAACTGGGATGAATCGATAGTGGTACCCATTTTCAAAAAGGGTATTCGCAGTGAATGTAGAAACCACAGAGGTGTTGGCTTGACGCCTGTTGTGACACGGTTTCTGGTGTTCAGATAGGTACTCGGGCCGACTGACTTTCCACATATTGCGACATCTACACTAGCACTACATGTAAGACGCGGTTCCAAGGTCATCAAGCAGGACTTCGACCTTCTTTACGTGCTTAATCAGCGCCACATATACGGCCGACCAACACCCACAGTTTTTCTCGGCTTTAGAAAAACCTCCGACTCCAATGGCGTCGACTCGCCTAATTATCCTTCGCCAGGTGGGAAAGTCCATATGTTCGTTGATATTCGTCGCACTTTTATTCCCATGCCTCTGGTCGATTCAGGGTGCTGCCTAAAAGCATCCTTCCAACAAATAGAGTTCTTCGAGGTTTCCCACTTTTCCTTGTTCATTTTGTCATCGACGTATCAGGGAATGCACACTCTAAATGATCATGTATTTTGTTATCGGAACCACTTTTGCAAAGAGGTCATGGACTTGAAGTCTGCGAACGGTTTCGCTTTGTTTGATGCGCAGTGTTCTTGAAACAGGTTATTGGAGGTGGTTCTATGTTTCGGCATGTTTTGCACCTTCAAAGTGCAAAGTTTTATTTCAAGACTTCCCTTTGTTTTGTGTTTTTCTGAAGCTTCATATTGAAGAGGCTTTATGGCATCCTATACATTGGTTTTGTCGGCTTACAGGATCATTGGTCAAAGCACTAAAGTTTCACTACAATCCACCTTTCTTGCCGAAAACGCCATTATCGCATGGGCTGTGAGCGGCCTCTGTATGTTGCTTCGAGTGACAGATTTCGAATAGTGATGGGAAAGCAATATAACGGGTTTTAGTTGTTTGTAAGAACCAGCGTCTGCCAAAAGACGAGAATGCCACTATGAGGACTCTAGGCTTGCTAATTTGAATGCGCTTCATGAGCTCAGTAACTCTTGCTAATTTCTGCATAACAGTCCCCTTAACGAGCGATGCTCCCCAGGTTCTCTTCTCCCTGCACCTGCTGGGATATTTCTTGTTGAGGATGATTTAAATTGTTTTATCGACATTATTATCCACCAGTCAGCCAAACAGTTTAGTACCAGTACCAACAACGCACCATAAAGTGTTCATCGCACCCAGCTAGATAGTGTGCGGGCCGCTACGTTTCACACCAATCGAAGGAGCTGCTGCACTGAAACTCAATCGATCCCCTTTGTGATTTCTCCTCTTAGCTACCATACTTCTGCTGTCCATACGGTGCTGTCCGGATGGCAGAACACCTGATTTCGTTCCTGAGATAAAAAGGCCCGAGTCAGTTAACTATCTCTATACCAGTAGCTCGCATTGGCCTTGTTCTTCTGGTAATTTGGTCTGGAAAATGTTAGGCTGGATGTGATAGCTTATCTTTCAGTTGCAATGAAAAGATTGACTAACTGGGGGCAAATGCTCCTCGTGAAACATTTGCTTCAATTTGTGAAGCTTTCTGCAAGTTTGCGATACCCTGGTTGTAACCATTTCTATGTGTGCTAAAGTCATCTCTTCCAGTAGTACTACAGGTTCTGAAGCGTTGGTTATTAGGAGGGGGTGCACTGTACGGCAAATTCGTCAAAAAATCGCGACATTTTTGACATTAGATTGTGCAGGTTTTCTGACATCGACCATTTTATGTGATATGTGGGAGTCGGCGGTCGTCTCAAGTTTGGTGGTATCAACTGATTATCTAGATTCCCCAGTAGCAGGATAACATGTTCGCTGTAATCTCGCAGCCACCAGTGGTATTGCAAATAGGACTGTTATTTCCAGTGAGAGCGAATACCTCCGAGTTGCTTACCCCTTTGACTGTTGTTGTTTCCGAACGTCAATAACCTGTTAATCCAAGAGTGCCTGAGGACATGCCAGTTCCTCAGGGAAATTCACCGGCCCCGAATGCACTTCTGCGGTTACCGGACTTGGAATGAAGTAGTCCGGTCCAACAAGCACAATTCCTCGATGACCAGAATAGTAGTATGAACCGCCCGAATAGAAATTGTGGAAAGCTGAGAAATTAGTCTGCTAATGAACACCTTGGTAATGTGTCCAAGTATTGGTAGCTCGGGTGAGTTTATTGGTTGTTGATCAGGTGATCTGTTCACTTAGCTTGGTAATCGACTTGCAGACGTTTCGTCACCATACGAGGAGATATCATTAGTGCGCGGTTGGGTGGGTGAACACCTTATTGTCCAGAGTTTGCATAGCTGTATTGTGACTTTTGGGCACTCAAACAGATAGCATCTTTGAGCGCACTGTAATCCCCATTTGTGGCGCTGTCAAAACCAGTTGTTCGCAGCGTTCAGTCTTCCGAATCGGCATAGGCATAAGAAGTACCAGTTCGAAAAGTACATCAAGCAACCACACGTCGAAACTTAGGTCAACTGACTTAGATCATCAGACGAAAATTAAACAAGTAGCTTGGCAGCACAGCCTATAGAACGGAAGGCATGTAGTTACGTTCCATCCAAAAGAATAATAACCTCCAGGAATAGGATTTGTGACGGTCTTCGTTATTCTGAGTGTACGATTTAAGAAATCGGTAAAATCGATTGACACACTTTCCTGTCTGTGCGCATTTCTGACGAACAGTGGACGTTAAATTCAAGTAGGCTCAGGCTAGTCGGGAATTGATATTTCGATTCTATCACTCGTTTCGTTTCAGGTGGATTTCCGGAATCCAGTTTGTCGATGATCCGCGTGTCTGGGCCGCTTGCTTTCGGTTTCTTCTTAGCAAGCAGGTGAACAGAAGATACATCAATCCATCAACCTCCCATTTGTGGTCTGGTGATGCCCGGCGCATACCTAACGTTTCCATGCTTTTGTTATTCTACGGTACGACCACTGGTCCACCGGCTTGTTTTGAAGTTGACTGGGGATTCGATTTTGCGAGGACAACGCAGCTTCATGGAATTCGGCATCTTCACTCAACAATGGGTGATCCAGCCGCAGCGGTGAGTCCTCCCATGGTATAGACCTCATATTCGAGATGTGACCTTTCTTACACCAATGGGATTGTACATGCGCAGGAATCTGAAAACAACTTGCCTGTGTATTTTGTAACTAAATTCTCTTCATGGAACAACCAGTCTTATTCCAACATCTCCCATGTATTCGACTTCTGACCGATTTCGAAATGCACATGGTCCGCCATTGTTCAACAGAAAATTTTATACTGTAGTAGCGGCTGTCATTTGGTCCATTCCCCTTGACTAGTTACCACCACACGCACTGCGAATTCAAGGATGTACCCGTTAGGTATCACCATCCTAAGGTATTCTCCATGCGAATTTGAATAAAAAATTTCTTGCCAGTCGTCATCCATCCGTACTTAGAGCAACAAAATACACTACAAATAAGTTTTGTTTCTTGATCGGTTCTTTGTGTCTTCCACTGCGTTGTTTATCCGCTTTCCGAATCCTGAAACACAGTTGTTTGACTGGCGTGATTGCAATAGGTGGCTCCAGGATCCCGCTATCTCTTTTCCGTACTGGATCTAGATGGCTATCTGGTCGAAGCGATTGTTTTCATAATTACTTCTTGGACTGAAGTCCTTTCTGACGCTTTCATCGCGGTCGCCATATTCAAGACTTCCTTAGGTCAATTTAAGACTAAATGAGTGCAAATCTGGTCACGTTTATCTATGCGGAGCATTCATTTGATGTATCAATACATATTTTAAATCACAGTGCTGTGCGCTCGACAGAGATGCTCAGTAAAATACCTTCGCATACATCCTACTGAGTTGATATTCCAGTAATACGCGGCACCATACACGCTCACCGCCCGGTACGGTTACCCGAGTGTGTCGCTTTTATCATTTTAACTCCTGACGATTCTCATTTTGTTGCTTCTGGTGCAGGCCACAAAGTTCCATCAACCTTTCAATTTTTCAAAAGTACATTTCAACTTATACAAAGGAGTTGGGTGTGTTCAATCTTTGGGAACCCCGTGTTTCGACAGCAAGGAAATGTCCTTCTTTGATCTGAACCTGGCTCCCCAACACCTTTTATATGAAAATATAGAGGCTGCAGTTCGACCTTATCTCTCCCCGGTCAGCACACTACGACTTGAAGACGTTCCTTTGACGGCGTCCTTGGCTGGTCAGGAAGCTGAAAATTCGTATATTTCCCCGAGGGTCCCGACCGATTTGTCCAAGCAGCTCGAATATGACGATACTTTTTCACTGTAAGTTTATCCTGTACCCGGCCAGTTTCCCTAGTTTTGTATCATCGGTCGCCACACCGCACGTCCTGTCAGCGTGATGGTCCTCCGCCTTTCGGCACTTTCAGTATCACATTCGAATGGGGCCCAAAATCCATCCTTCATTGCTTTTTAACCTGAAAGACCAGTATTCCACCACCATACAACCATACTATAGCATTAAGACCGATACATTTCAAAGAGTTTTGGTAAACAATCCGTGGATTTGTTGCTGGGCAGCGTTTCGCTTTTGACACAAAAGCTTCGTCAAGCCATGTAAGTAAGTGAGTAGGTTGATTGGGTTTTAAGGCAGTCAGGGAACCAATCCGTGAGATTCCATATGACTAGCCGACGTGATCAGTGCTGGGTGTTCAGTCTGATGTTCCTATTTGTTGGTTAGTGGGATGACTAACATTTACGATAGACTGGTTTTATGGGGAGCATTCGTCTTCATGATGAACCCGGATTTTTCGTTCACGGATTTTGTCCACCTGTGTTCGTCAAAGGGCGTCGGGACAATTGGTTTGGGGATGGGGGTGGGGGTGGTTAGTTGGATATAACTCTATTTGGATTCTGTACTTTTAGACCCAGACCATTTCGCTGATAACTGAACACCACCTCGTGTCATCTCGGCTTATCTAAGGCTGCTCTCCACACGTTTGCAAGTTGTACCCCCTCTTCTTCATAAAGGAAACTACTCACAATGTTGCTGAAAACTCTTCTACCCCCTCTATTCTATTTACGCTGGGATGCTTGGTGATTTCCACCGCCTCGGCCACCAGTCGCTGTAGTGTGAATCTTAAACTCCGTCTCAGGATGTCCACAATTTATAAATCTGTCCTATGCCCAGTGTCTAGCACATGCCCCGCCATTGCCAAATCTTTGACTATCGCCTGCTATTCATCTACGTTTCTCAGTGGTCTATTAATGAAACGTTTATGCTCACCAATTTTGATGTGCAATTCCCTGACTAGTTCGGCAGAGTGGCGTTTCCTATTCACACACAACAGACGTCCCTAACTGTTACAGCTCGAACCTTAAGGGGGGAAACTGTCATGAACCTGGACGACTAACAAATTCGGTCGGCAGACCAGAGTACCATGTCGTGTCTGTCCCCTCCGTTTCAAGCATTCAGAAGCAGACTTGCATGATTCAGCAACCTTTCACAAGCATACTATTTAATACATTAATTTCTCAATGCATGGGGTCTTATTAATTTTAACTTCACGCGTCACATTCTTTCCCAGCAGGCAATCAGTTCGTGGCTTGGATTGTTTTATTTTTGAAACTCTAATGTATTTCGGGATTGTTGCTGTACCTGTACGAACCGTTACTGCTGTGGTGCAGCATTTTGGAATTCGCTATTCGGATTCACACTACACCTTATTCGACATCTGTTGCTTCGTATGGTCGCAGTCACCTGTCGTACTGACATTACTTATGTTACTCTTCGCGGTTTTTGAGGACTGGCTGTGAACTCCAGTTTGAACATCACGCACTCATTGAGAAAGGGTCACCAAGTGATGATACATGACCCGAGATTTTTGCCATCAGTTACAAGCAAAGAGTACGGGTGATAGAGGAAATTGTGAAGTTAGTGCTGTAGTGGACAGGCGTCAAGGTCAGCCCAACGACGATCACGTTTATTGCGTTTGGTGTCGCCCGAGACTGTACGAACAAGTGTCAGAGTACGTGCGGGTGGATCCGGAAACCATATTGAAATCCACTCATATTGTTTGGTCGAAGTGGTCATTCTAACGTTCAGAAGACTATAGAAACAAGTATACAATAAAGGAAGCTGAAAACTCGTTTGAACTTATGCCGGTGTTAGCATGATACTCGAACAAATCCAAGCGTCTTTCGCACGATTCTACTTAAAGGGCTGAGGATAACCTTTCGATCGTCCGCGACCACTTTCACCATTTCCAGACTCATCAGGTAGTCATCGAAAGTGGTAGTAGGCTTTGAAATAATTATCATCAAGTAATAAGGTATCAAACACCATGTAGCGATTGTAGTTTCCATAAGAGCAAAGGAAACAACGTAGAAAGTTGTCCATGCAAAAGCTATTCGGGATGTCACGACTGATTAGATTTAATGCACTCCCTTATGAGGTTACTGTTATTGGGTCCGCTGGTTCTGAATGGTTACCTGAAACGGATCAGTCATACAACAGTCGACATGTTGTTCACCAAAATTGCCAGCCACTTCCAGTCAAAGCTGAAGTTGCGTTCGCTTGACTAGTGTCTTCGCACATCCTAACGTGGCCGGACCACACCAGAGCAGTTGTACGTTCGGAGGAAACCTTTTGAAACCGTGTGCACATTATAGACGTTGATTAAAGCTGCTTCCGAGATCACTTGCGAACGTAACTAAAAGTGAAACCGTTCTGCTTTGGCTCCCAACTTTCTGACGCACGCTACAATATGGGTACAGGTTTTCGAAGGAAGCTACACTTCGTTCATTTGGAACGATGTGCACTACATTGTGGGTATTTGCTTGTATGCGGTCTTTTAGGTAGCACTCAACCAATGGGAGGATTTCCTCCACAGTCTTTAGTTGTTATCATTTCCAGTTGGCATTTTCCGGGGAGAAATCGTCCCGTTTATGCCTCCTTTGAAGGCTTCAACGGCAAAGACTAGGCTGTCAAAACCTCCGTTCATACTCCCTCATTTGTGCTTCTGCAGCCCTGTCACCCAATTCAACGTCCCAGATGCCTCCTTATTATTCGAGGAGGGTGTGACAACTTCCACTTGTGAACTGATGCAGTCTTCACTTTCTCAAAGTGACACCCAGTTAATTGCGTTACAAACTTCGTTACAATGTTCCAATGATGCTATTCCTAGACAGCCTCCTGGTTCATCTTCAGTTCAACGGTCATCTACCAATGAACTTCATCTGCCTCTGCTTGAAAAGAAACCACTTCCCACAATCTGTGAAGATGACGTTCTGACGGCATATGATCCCGCTCGTTATCGTGTAGAAACAGAACATCAAAATTCGAAGCTATCAGTTGAACCATCCGATTCGTCGACCCATCGCGAAAAGAAGCGAAAATCACATAAATCCACTCCGACCGTCTTACATTCCTTATTGGCAACGCTTCCTCCGTCTCAACTGAAACGGTTGGAACAAATCATTTGCACTCTGCTTGATAAGTCCAGTGACGGACAGGCAAAGAAAACGGAGGCTGTTTCAAGATCGGCGGGGTGTGAGCAGGCTACTGAAATGCTACACAATAATGTCCAAGCGGTTGATGTTGCAGTAAACACGACACAATTATACGTCAAGCCAATCCCACAAATCGAGACCGGCAGCGTCACCCCAGCGGAGAATGGTAAGTGCAGTTCGTGCCTCGTATGGCTGCAACACTTGTTGACAGTGCGCCTGATTTGTGTTTCCCCTCATTTGACAGCCACCCAGCAGTTGAAAAGGACTGACAATGCCTCTCCTGGAATTTCAACGACTTGCTCTGACCATGTCAAACATGTTCGGCCAACGGGAGCGGACGTTTCGAGCAATCCTGTTCATGGAGCTACTAGACCGACGCTCGGGGATTTCGCATCTCTCCTAAGCTTGCCGCACAGTGACACTAAACAGGCGGTAAGATTATTGATATTTTCGTTACTATCATGGGACCAATCGTAGCATCCGATGTTCAGCTGTTGGACGATCCGTTAGAGTTAAGGGGAGAACATCTATCAGTCGAACGGAAAACCCGTCGGCTCGCTCTCAGAATCTGGTATCTCAATCAATATGTGACATTGTACATGCCAAGACCACTGCACGTTGGGGTGAGACAGAACACGGCATGCTACCTCAGGAATTTCAGTCTTTTTTAATTTGAGGCTCAGGTTGAGCAGGCAATCATTCATATCTCCTTCGAATTTAATAACCGTCCAGCTGTAGCGCCCTTTCGGTGCCTAGCTGTCATGCCACACGAATAAGGCAAGAGGGCTGGGATACTGTCAGGTGGCCCAAGCCTAGACGGGAAGTCGAGTGGCCGAGGTCGGGTTCGAACCACGGACCTTCCGGTCAGTAGATTCGCGCTCCAATCGCTTGATCCATCTCGCCCCCAAATTTACTAACACGCTACCAAGTTTCTATTAATGTGAATGACCTCACTTGGATCGGATTCGCTCATATTATGAGCATTTGTGGGTCAGCATCATCAACAGATGTTCATTTTCGCCACATGTGCACGTCATTAACTTAGTCGTTATTTCTTCGTGTGCATTTCTTTAGTCTAACTCTTCACCACCTGGAAAACATGGTTCTGGAGTGCCAGATCGCTATTCAAATCTGTTGGTGAGTTTCCTCGACTTTTTTTTTATTTCAGTATACTTTACTTACCGTCAACAGATCTGCTCTATTTGGGCAACACTGCTCATGCTAGTGTCTTGTGTTGTTTCCAAATTAGAGGACTCTAGTTTGGAGCATCGGACACACTCATCTTCCAAACTCCATTAGTACCTGAAGTAGTCACTTCTTTTCCGGGAATCCGTTGTTTATGGGATGATGTACTTCTATGAGCTCATGTTCTATCATTACAAATAGGTGGCCGAATCTCTGTTAGTCCTCAGTGAAACTAATCGAATGTTTGTAGATGGACGCTTCAGGACCTTGTCCTTGGGTTCACGCACCAGCCGACCGGTTGGTGCATCTGGTGAATTTCAGTGAGGTGTGAAACTTAGTTGAAATCAACTGTTTGGGCGTATCTAGACGACCATCGTAGTCAGAATGTTTCATCCGCTCCCCGCGGAAGACCGATCGCTGTAAGCAGCAAAGCAGTGAGTGGCATCGTTCGGGTAGCGGCGCCTTCGAACAAATGATCGACTACCCAATGTCGAATAGAATCAAGACAGCATTGACAAGAGGTTTCGCTCTGCTTTCACTACCCGAAAGAGTCATATCCGCATGGGCCCGTGAATTGTGTATTTTATGTGAACAGTCAGTTGACTTCCTGTGGCTTTCCGAATTTAATATGCAAGAAGGTCGGTTTACTTTACCTCTGCGCTGCAGACCACCAATGGGAACTGCGTACGATCTTTTTCATCGAAATCTGATATACTACATAACTCGCCTTGTCTTTCTTTTCGTTATTGCAGGCAAGCATACAAGCTGTTTTGGACAGACAATCAAAATCTGGAGCAAAACACGAGCGAAACCGCTCCATCAGCAGCGATTCCAACCTTCCGAAAGCATATGATTTAAGGCCACAAACAGATTTCGGCGGAAGCGTATGTGACTATCCTCTGAACATCCGCAGCAGCAGCATCAGTACAACTCGTGTGAATGGGCAACAGAAACCAGTGAGCGAACAAGATGAAATTCCTCTGAGCAATGCATTACTATCCAATAAACGCGTTGCTTACTGGCTCCATTCTGATATGGAACCACACCCGCCTCTACCAAGAAATGAGGGCGACGATTCTAAAACCACTCAACTCTCAGATACCTTGCTGGATAGTCACTTGATAACCGGTCGCTATGCAAATGCCACGTAAGTATACTTGGATCTGGGCCCCTGCAAGTGAACTTTAGTCAAATTAGTGATTTTCGCAATTTCCAGTGAGTTATTAGTGTCACTCTATTTAGAGTTGCCTAACAGAAAAAAGGTTTAAAGGAAGCAAACGATAGGGGATGACTCAACTGGTTATTCTGAGTCGAGAACACATGTGGAGAAAGGTTGTTAGGTTTGGATTATGTGCACAACATTGCTACGTTATCTAACGGCTATGGGAAGCAGTACCGTGTCGTTTCGGCATGCAGTTCCATTTTCAAAGTGCGAGGTCTTGCTTCAGGAATTCCCACTCCCATGAAACCCCTTGAAAATGCATTATCAGGAGCTTGAGCTTGTTGATAGGTTCGCCTATCTTAGCAGCTGCCGTGACTGCACTATGCTAGATGAAGTCACTGTACGCATCATCGAGGCACGAACAATAGCTGCCGAGTTTGAGTCACTGAGGCTAATGAACGGCGTCAACAAAACGACCATCAAAACAGTCCTGCTCTGTGGCTATGAAACTTGGTGCCTCAGATCTGGAGGCCCAAAACGTCTTGAGATATTTGATCACCATTGCTTTCGCATTATGAGCGTCGTTAACTGACGATAGCACCGACGGAATGAAACGGTCCGTAAGGGGGTGTTGGACAATGAGACGGATTCGCTGGAATAGCAGATACGATTTGGCGTGTAGTGCGTACGCCCGACTGCCGTCTACCGAAAGAAGCCATGTTTTCCACTCCAAACCGTTGTTGGCGAGAATTCCACTGGGGATAGGCCATGACGTGGCAACGCGAAATGAAAGCCCGTATTGCGGTATTTTCGCGCCCATAGAATATTGAGCGCAACCATTCTCAGTGACAAGCCGGCTTTTACTCCCTAGTCAGATGGCCCAGATACAGCTTGCCTGTCGGTGTGTGCTGGACTTGTGTTCGATGTGATTCGCAAAGGAAGTTTGGTCAATCGCGCTGATGGTGTGTTGCTCCAACTTAATTTCAGTGGTTTTGAGGTATAGGCACCTCGCACTTAGATCTTTTCTTTAGAGACATAGGGCTTTCTGCACCAAGTCCCCACTTCTATCCTTTCTCCTTTCACAGAGCCCTACTGCATGGCCGTGAAGCAACCACTCATACTACTGGCTTGTTGACTTCCACGATGGTGATGACGACAGCCTAACCTGTGCAGTAAGAAATACTAAGCAAACTTCATGTGGTGAAAGACCAAGAAAGTTCCCGAAAGAGCGTCCTCAACACTTAATCAGGTTATCGTTTCTTGTTGAAAAAAACAGGGCTGTTACGGACTAAAGGACAAATGTAAAGTAGTTTATATATATAAATGTATGTCTGATTTTTAAGCTTGGTGATGTTCGTTGAGATGAGCATTAGTTCATGGATCATCCTTGTCGGTTAGACGAAGTCCACAAAACCGCTATTAAAAGGATAGTCTGTAATTGGCATGAGCGTTTTTAGTTCCCGTGGGATTAATCCGTGTATTATTAAACTTCTCACATCATTAGTTTTTCCTAAGTCAATCGCTCCACCTAGCATACCTATTGTTTGATCAAACTCTAGTTGACTCCAAACTATTTCGGTTACTGGGATGGGTGGACATCAATCTCCGGTTGTCGTAATGCATGCGCCTGAGATAGATCGTCCCCAAACTGAGTGCACCAATAGACAATAAGGTATGAACTGACCGCTCGTTCTCCGTTATTTCACCACGTGCGTAGATCGATCCAATCCATGGGTGTCCACCTCAAAGCTTTAGGTTGTAATAATGTGCTGAACATCTAAGCATACCTTGATTAACGTTCACAGGGACACTATATTTGCGATCATAGCTCTATACCACTTCCTGTTTTGTCACATCCTGAAACACGTGTTTCGAGCTATCTGTGATTAGACAAAATTGCATTTCCACAAAAATCCCCATTCTTGTTTCAGATGCTTGTCAGAAAACAATTCCAAATGCACCCTGTCATCGAGCCTGATAAATGCAAACCTATGTGACTATCACTTGGCCAGTGATCAAGAAGTGACCCATGCACAACTTAGCATCGTTTCAGCACAAGCCGATCAACAAATGGATAGTCAAATAACGACAGAAACCGATCAGAGTTTGTTTTTAGCTGCTCTGGTGGAAAAGTATTTGGGACTGAAAATCGAGTCGCCCAAGAAGACAGCATCGGACAGAGACAGAAGGCGTACCGAAGATGATTCTGTGGATTCCCTGACAGTAACGAGGTATGGTGGACTTAATCCAACAGATATGAGCTTGGCTACACAATGTTACTTGGAAAGACACGGAATACTGGATACAAAACAGGAGTCGGCGAGAAGCAAAAAGGCGTTTTACAGCAGTACGCCGCTTGGCGGACCGTCGCTGGTCGGTCTAAACGCGGAGACGGAGAGGAATGCTCATCGAAACGAGCCTCATCTGTGTCCACCAATAAAACAAAGCCCAGAAGTATTCCACTTCCCCGTAAATACTGTGCCTAACATCCTTGATGGTTTATGCTTGGAACGTTCACCTCTCGCAGATCCGCAGACTAAATGTGTCCCAAACACAAATTTATTTCCCACGCTTAGTGAAACGTCTCAGTTCTCAACCGGAACCTGTGTCGTAGTGGGACCTACAACTCGAACGAAACCGACTGCTGACCAACGATCGGTTGGTGACAGTGAGCACGGTCGCATCCTCGATATCGAGCGATTGCGCGCACTCCCAAAGCTTCTGTGATTGTATATTTGTTAACTTTGTCCTAGTTTTCGTACAGAACCAATAACTGTCCAAAGTGGGTGTAAATACAGATATATTGCTGCGTAAATCTTATGATATCCTGAGCTTAGAAAAGAAAATGATACATAAATATGACAGACAGAAAACCGTTTAATATAGGTCGTCTTCATTTTGCATCTGTCCTCCATCTTGATTTTTTATCTGTTCCTGACTTTTGTACATTTCATACACCTGTTGTGCGGTGGTAGCATCCTCAGGCTTCTTGTCATCACGAATGCGCACGAAACGCGGAAAACGCAGTGAAATACCCTTTTCGGGGTCGGCCTGAAAAAGAAGAGGCAAACGCTGACATCGTGGAATAAAAATATGAGAGGAAGTTGAAACATGACCAGTTTTCCCTGATGCAGGAGGGGCAATTTGAAGACCACAAGATGCCTTCATCATTCGTGATTGTACAACACCTTCACGTATGCCGAATTTTTCATTCTCATGATGGGGTCACTGCAACGAAAACCTGTCTTACACTTCGGGTAAGCAACATTAAGGCAGATACCATTAGTTTACCTTGAGGCAAGCAACAGGGTATCCATAGAGAGACATCAGGGAAAAATCCGCAGTGGAATTACCGCAAAAGGAGTCTGTTCACATGTCAAAAAAAGATATCTGGTTCTCGTCTGCTGAGCAATAGGTCCTACTACATCAGATCTATTTCTGCGAAGGGGCCCATCATCCAGCCGAATATTTTTGGTTGAATTGTATCATGCACTTTGGTTTCAAGTGGAACGATCACGATCAGCCGCTTCTTTCGTTCTGAACAGCTTCTATTAGGCCGCATACCAGCATAAGCAGATATATTCTGGACCCGATGGGCTCGTGTGAGTTGCAGGAACTGATCACGCTTTCTTTGCAAAGTCTGACAATTATGGACTTCGTGAATAATGAAGACAAAAACTCGACTATACGTAATTGACCTAAATAAATTAATAGCTTATTAGAACTAGCCATCCTTGCGTATTTGAGTAGCCTTCTTAATGTTAGACTACTAACGTGCAATATAGCTCTGAGATCACCTACACTTATTCTAATGTGGATTTCATCCGTAGGGGAACAGGCAAACAGGTTGAACATGAAGTGCATGTTCACAGGAAATAATCTACATTCGTGGAATCATTGAATGTAGCTCAGCAGTTGCGTGTGTCACTGGCATAATCATATGGACGTCAAGAACGTTAAAAATTAATTACCAGACCAGCGGCCGCTTTGTGTGCTGGCGATATGCTCAAATCGGCCGCTTTCACTTCCCAAACTTGGGTTGGTTCGAACCAATGATCTGGAACCAGACCCGGAGCGAATTGGTAATATGCTTTGGCCTTATCCACGATGTAGTCTTTGAAATATGACGAAAACTTTGCCAGATCTTCGTCTGTCATACCAGTGCCGATCTGCAAAATAATAAAGAAACGATAATTCTCATGATTACGAGTCTTAGTCTGATGAAAGCGGACTCTACTAAGATGTTTTCCAACTCCAGCATAGCACAATTTTCTACGGAAGATCTTCCAGGTATAATGTTCACACATTCATGGGTTACTGGAAAGCTGTGCCCGTACACTCCCGCCGTCGTGTAAAGTTTTATTGGCATACAGGCAAATGAAAACCTAGACACATGGATTCCAAGGAACTAACAAGCTTAGGGGTATCATGTACATTGAGCTGCTAGTCTATGGCCTATGAGGCCTTCAGTCATGAAGCGCGTTCTTGTATTCAGTGGTCCTGGTCACCGAGAACAGAACAGCAACACAGCATACGAAATCACGTACGGGTGCTAAGTTGAAGTAGTGAGCTCGATCGCGTGACTACCAGTGTTATGGACATTTCCAGAGGATCTGCAGCCGCCGGTTGAGTGTCAGATGACATTTACCGACTTGTGTAGGTCCATGGTGAGTGGTTATTTCACATAAACGTTCTTTGGCATAGCCGAACCTAAGGATTTGGTGTATGGAAAAATTCTCATGACATCACCAAAGCAGCATGACGAGGTGAACTCTTCCTCAGGCTCAAACATACATTGGGTAGAAAGAATCAACCGAAAGAGTACCGGGTTCAACCAGGTTAAAAATCCGTCAAATGGTCAGGGCATTCGCCAAGACTGGTAATGTTTGAGAGTAACGTGAGATTACGGCGTGACTGTGTGGCCAACAGTATCCGTACGTTGATTCTGAGTAAGAGGCTGAGGTTGGTGAATACGTATATCGGCTTTACCTGTGAAGAACCTGTTCTTTGTGAAGCTTCATCAAGGAAGCACAAGAAGACATGATCCAGGATTTAAGCCAATTCTGAAAGTACCGGCAAATATAGGCCCCAACATTGTATTCAGACAGACGACAGACACTGGCAGCCAACCGGATGTCCATTGGATGCGTGACGCAGCACCCACCATTGAACACAAGTTGCCTTGTCTCTGTACTTAATGCCTTATGTGTTTCCGTCGATTTCATCCACCAACACTGACAATGAAAGCAGTATTAAACACCCGCTGTTCACTGGCGCAAAACGGCGGTACTTTATCAGAGACCTGTCATATAGGAAAATAAATTGAATTCCGAGGCAGTAAGTATTTCACGTGACCACTCTTCCTCCACAAACCTGAAGATGGGGCAACGGTACCAACCTACTCACAGGCATTCTTGTGCGTTAAGCAGAGAAGGAAGAAATCCTTATAAGGCTTTCGTATGTTCCTGCTAATTAGACATTGCTGCAAAACAGCGCGGTCGACTATATCGACAATGCAAGGCGCGGGGGTTGGCCGCTGCGCAAGGTGTTACATAGGTGAAAATATGGCTGGTGTGTCCGAGAACTGATTGAAATCGGATTTCTCTACGGTCGTGGGACGTATGATCACGCTAGAACCGGTCAAAGTCAGCAATGCGGATAAACATAAAGCTTGAAAACATTCGGCTGCTTGGGTACACTCGAAAATCCAAAAAACGATGCACCTGATTCCATCCAGCGCTTGACGCAGGACACTTTGCGGTGGGTGAGAATGTCGAAACGCCATAACGCACTCAACAGAAAGACAAAGATTGAATGGCGAAAACTTCGTATGAAAATCTGCAAAGGACAAGCTCACTTTACAAATGGTCTGGTACTCTTCGGACTCCGCATCGTAGCAAGCCAGTAGAAATCCACCGTATCGTCCAGCTCTTTTACCAGATCCATGAAATCCACCAATAACCACAAGATCTAGCGTATCGCCCACATTGTCCAAATAGTCCTTCTTCAATTTAAGCCAGTTGTGTGAGCGCTTGGCAATTTCATAGGTGGAATTCCGATCCAAAGTTTTGACCATCAATCCTTCGCAGTTACCTTGGACCAAAAAGGGAGACATAATGAATCCATGCAGTCGATTGGTTGGACAAGCACATGCAAGGTTTTGTCTTGAAAAACAGCAGTGTCAAGAAGTTACAGCTGACTAGATTGTGAACGTGGTCAGACCGTGTTGCTCGCGCATCCTGTTTGGCAACATACTACACGCTAATTTGCTAAAACAAACGGGAGGCGAATATTCATGCGTAATGAACGACAGACTACCTCTGTGTGGTAGTTAGGATCAGGCCGACCCACTCTATCTTCAATGACATGGAATTCACAGCTGGTTATTCAAGGCGCACAATCGCTTGATGAGCTCGCACATTTGTACCAGCTTACCTCTGAAGATAGCATCAATCGGCGAACCAGTCACTGAGGAGATATACTACCGAGACCAGTTAGCAAGTGTAAATGGATATCATTAGGCCAGTCATAACAGACGCATGTTCATAATTTATTAGACAACTGAGTTCTGTCTGTCACTGTCTACTAAGTTACCGCATCGAGCGAGGTCACATTCAGACGTTTTGTTTACTCGGTGGAAAAGTATCACGGGTCTGGAAGCCCTACCGACTATCCTGAGTCCAGTGTCCGCTTTTTACTTATAGTGGAACCATAATGGTTATGTATGGATAGGTTAGGTGCCGGAAACAATCCAGTGCGCTCGATATGTATGAGCGTGTCTCTCCTTAAACCCTCATTTGTTCTATCTAAAATGGAATCGGTGGTAAAACTCGGAATGAAAAAGATCGTCTTCTCATCCGCACATGAAAGACGTTACCGTCAGGTGGATTTTTCATCCGCTCATGCGTTCGGTTTTACACATACACAGCAACTATTTTTATGCTAATACCCACCAGTTCATGTTGACAATCCTGCGGATGAGCCAGTGTTCAACTCTGAATTCATTTCACCAGAAAGGAAGTGAGGGTAAGGGTTTCTATATAAGAATGGCCGTTCAACAGACCTATAGAAATGACTACCAAACGTTGGTTCCGATATATCTTTGAGTGATAGAGTCGCCGTTTCAGCTGTGCCAATCCGACCTAGTAGGAACGCGCGGTTGGTTGTTTTACTGTACTGTCTTCGGAAACGTTGGTCCTAAATGCAGCTACACCTGCGTCCTTGGAAGGAACTACAAGTTATCACGTCATTTTCGAGATCCAGTGTTAAGTACGAGCAGCTGTAGATATATAAACAGATCAGACGGGAAGAACAAATCTTTTGATGAACGGTTTCGACCAGAGTAAGTGATGTAAAGTGCACTCTCAACTACTTTGCCTCGCAGTATCTGCTCCATACGCTCTGAGAAGCTGCAACTCGTCCTCTGTCTCGCGATTGAGTTACATCCACAAAACAGCAAGGGAGTGCGGAAAGGATGTGAATAACGACTTCGTTAATGAGTGGAACTTATTCTCACCTTTGATTGACTCTTCAAGGAATGACGCGATCTGTTCAGTGTCTGACGAGTCCAGGGAAGTCGCGAGCATGAATTCACCGTGTATCTGAGAAAACGTTTCTCTATGGATGGTAATATGGAGAAGGGAAAGATGCATCAGCACTCCAGTTCAGTAACCCAACCGCGCATCCTATATGGTTCGAGCGGCCGACAATAGACGCTGACAACATTTAAAGAGACCCGATAGGGGAGAATGGCGCCGAACAATAGGTAGCAATTTATATGCCTTGAAGAACCCAAACCAACCCAACTCAGAACCTACGGCATACTCAAAAACCGCAGCCAGATCCGACAAAACATTTAAGGAAAACAGATCTATTCATATTAAAAAGCGCAAGTTATCGGGAACCGTTAGAATTATTAAGCTACAGTAGGCCAGTATCAACCTTTACTCTCATGAAATGGGGCGGCGAAGCGGAGCAGAACGACATTAAACAACTGTGTGGAGAAGATTCACTGTGGTTCACAACCAAACAGGCTTCGTGGACTACCAAAATTGCACATAGCCCGATTATTCGTAGACCACATTGCCTGAACTGCCTATGTTATTTCAGGGTACTTGATGGTCTTATCACCGTGTCCAGATTATGAATGAAAAACGGCTGAGTTTAGAACATTTCAATGTGTGCAGTAAATTTAGGTTATTGAAGACCGGTACGTGCGGATGAATGAGCTTCGCACAAGTGGGTAGCGACTAATCCTGACAAAGTTAGACAGGATTTCACACGCCTTTGCAATTCATTTGGGACATTGAAACACTAAGGCGATTATGCACCAGACTGTTGCTAGTGCACTCGACCGCTTTTCCATCTCACGGAAACAGTGAAAGCCTTCGGGTGGTTACAACATCGCACTTTCCGGATGGTGAACTTCAACAGAAACTCGGAGCCTGATAGTTCTGTCTGGCGGCTTTAAGTGCTTGACATGCAAAGACAATAATCGAAACTGACAGTGACTATCTCTTGGGCAACAAGCCCTGCAATCTTCAAAGATAGACTTTGATCGCCTAAACACACATCGGTGTAAAACCCTATCAGTAAGTAAATATGGATCAGTCGTGGCATGGACCCACACACCCTTTAGGGGCACAAAAGATTGCGAAAATCAGCGAATGTGCCGGTCCTCCGAAGCTTGACACTGCATAAAGATGAGACATTATCTAAGGAGTCAAACGGGAAAAATCAAACCGATACCATGGATACGGTCAGGTAATAATTCGGGCAGTGTACGTCCTGAGCTGAAAGTAGATGCAGTTGGACCTGAGTACCGCACCCCATGAAGCTGATTGGACACCCAGTTGCACAGATAAATACACTGGGCAGAGTGCCCCAAGTCAGTGTGTAAAACGATAGCAAGACTGCTAGTTTTCGCTGAGCTTGTACTCTCCAAGAAAAGTACATGCAAGCTACCAACGTATCTCCATCAAGATGGCTGTTCGCTGAATTTATGATCAACGGTGATTTGGTAGGCATCAGAATAAGGGATCATTTTGCGCGACAACGGCTTGAGTTGCAGTCGACGTGTTCGACGACAATGGATTCAAACAGCGCCACAAAAAATCGCCCCGTTGTAGCACCCTTTCGATGCCTAACTGCCATGCGACCCGAGAGCTGGGACACTGCCAGGTTACCCAAGTCTAGACAAGGGGAGTTGAGAGACAGGGGTCGGGTTCGAACCACAACCTTCCGGTCAGTAAATTCGCCCTCTAACCACTTGGGTCACTGTCGGGTTACAATCGCAGTGCTTTGATCGTAATTATGAGTAAAGCTCGCGGCATGACCACCATAATAGTTCAACTGAGCTAAACGAAAGAGGACACGGAGCTTCGTAATTGTAGATACAGAGAGATAATCCATGTATTTTCAAGGCTGTCTGGACAAGCAGTGGCCGCAAGCAAAGCTTATCAGTCGAAAATTTTTAATAAAAATTTTCTAGCCAAGTTTTCCGAGTAAGGCACCAGGAAATTTCCGCGCAGTTACTAAGGTTAGTAACTGGGACACAAAAGTCCATCAGTCCGCATTCAAGGGTCAGGCGTGCCCAGTAAGTAGTCCACGATTCCCTAAGTTTGAAAAGCAAGAAAATGAGGAAACCTCGGTGATACAAGTTAATTGAACAAGCGATAACTTAGGAATCATGAGTGGAAAGGTGAAGTTCGATAATGATGAAGTGTTGTATGGACGGCTATTGGCAAGATACGGAGAAAGAAGATGCAAATTCATGATGACCAGGGTCCCAACGAGGAATTTTAGTGTTTAGGAAGACCACCTTTGTGGTAAACAGACGTTGTGTTGTCGAACCACACACAAAAGTCACGAACGAATCTTACACAATAACAGTTTTGATGAACATTCCCATGCGTTTTCCTGCAGGAAAAATGATATCTCAAGTTAGGAACGATATTGCCTGATTAACGAGACCACAGCCGAAGCAACCATCCGAAACAAGGGGATATAACGGCAAGGCGTCTATCCGACCGAAATAAGCTTCTGGGTGGCGAGGCTTCTACAAAAATTAATGAGATGTCATGAAAGTGTCAGATTTTGGTATTGAACAGTAAGAAATGTGGTGTGCCTTGAAATGCTTTAATTTTGGAAGTCAGTGTACGTATCAATGACGTCTGACGCCATTTCAGCACATAACATAACGTTTCTGAAGTACTATGTAGGCCAAATCATAGTCGGCTGGAAATCAGTGAGTGCCGCAGCCAATAAGCTTTACTCGGTATCAGCAGTATTCAACAATAACGACAAATGGATACGCTGTCCATGTGTATATATCCATATCCATGCGCACACAAAAAACCCCTTCAGATCGCTCTACGAAACCTCCTACTCCTTCGTCCTACCCAATCAAGGTGCTGTGTTCACTGTAGCAGTCTTAAAACGTGAATGACCTATGGATATTTGGGAGTGTGCGTTTCCACAAGGGAGGAATACAAGCTATTTCATTATGGTAATCAGTGTCGACGTGCAAAGGTAGGCCAGCGTGCACCAGACAGGATAGCATAGGCTGTATCCACATAACGGTGCACTGAAGAACCGGCAGAAGTAGCACTATCATCTATAATCGGTATGCACGCATACGAATCTCTCCCTCGTGAATACTGGATACGAATGACCAGATGATTCCACTCTGAGAAAACAACACAACACATCACTCACATAACGGGCGTTCTAGAGGCACGGAAAGGAAACTAATGGTTAGTGCTACTGGACCAGCTATCCGCTGAGTGAACTGAGGTGCTGAAACGCGTCAGCGACTTCAGGTTGTGAAGACACCTGTCGCATGATTGGGCGGTCTTTCTAAAAGTAGGTTTTTAATGGAAAAGCTGGGAAGACTGGAAAATGGTCCTCACAGAGTGGTTCTTATGAAAGAGAAGTTTGTATGCAGGTGACCCTTGCTATCCGCCACAGATGAAGAGATAGTGCAAAGAATACAACAATTTGGCACCCGCTCCAAACTATCGCTGATAGTGCAGAAGCCAGATAACAGAACATCCCAGCAGAAATTTGTAACGCACTACTCATAAGGTTGCTGAAAATTCGTCGATAGCCCACGACCGGTTTCGCCCTTCTTGGGGCCCATCAGGTAGATGCAGTCCCCGAGTCTCCATCAACTCTATGTTCTACTTGAAACTAAATTGCACGAAATTAGCGAAATGCACTCAATTTGCAAGCTAATTTGGTTTTTCGAGAGACTCACCTCGAACCCAGCTGGATTCCAGGAGAGTCTCTCTCGAAAAATCGAATTAGTTTGCAAATGAGTGTATTTCGCTAATCCCAGCAGAAACTTTCTCTAGCTTCGCTGAGAAATTCCGAAAGTCCTGAGTTTATCTGGCACCTAAGAACCATAGTATATAGGATAAGAGTATGAATGAGTCGGAAACATCGCAAAATAAACCCAAAGTTTGTTCCCAACCAAATAACTTGCACTGGCTGACGAGAATCAATTGAGGAATGTGAAACACCGGAATAAAACACATGAAAGGGCAAAAAAGGAAACGAATGTTGCAAACATACCGAATTATTTCCCGACGAACGCGTAATGGTTTTTCGATCAATGAGACGCCATTGATGAAGAGAATGTCAAATGCGTAGACGCAAACCTGAACTTTGACCGCGGCTTCATCGACATCCTGAAAACGGAAATGCGAGCACCACTTGATAACTAATACACACACCATATATGCATCATGTAGTGTTAGAAGAGACAAAACGGACTCGTGAGGACTTTTGGGTTTCACATGAGTTTGCCGTCCAGATCCAAGTGAGATCTCAGGACGTCCTTGCAGTCTGGCCATCATCGCAGCAACAGACCTTAAGCGGCCTGTGTGCAGCACAATCAGTTGTAGAATATTATAAACGAAAGATTCAGTTGATTCTTCCGTGAAAATCGAATTGATTTGCAAATGAATGTATTTCCCGGAGACCTAAAGCTGCATTTGAAAAGGCGCTGCATTGCCAAATGGCAGTGTCTCCAACTTAACCTCTATCTATATCATCCATTCGGACTGGTGAATTTAAAGGTGAATGAAATTGTGGACTGGCACAATGTCGTAATTTGGCAATAACCTATAGAGGGGGACACCAGACACACATCAGCCGGTCCAGTTTACCTCAGACCGGTGGTGCCGAGTAGTTACACCAGTTTTCGTGACCAGTCATCAGCTGAGCCGAAATGTGATGTCCGCGTTTGTGTGCGTGTGTTAAATATGCCCGGATCGTGCCGATTGTTCAAGGAAAGAGCAAGGGTTCACCAAGAAACTAACAAAAGTATCGGCTTACAGAACGGTGGGAGTAGGATGCCGCAACAAGCCCCACTCAATCGTTTGACTGCTGCAGTCATCAAAACCAACAGTTCAGATAAACGTTGAGGTTTCGTGCGGTCACAGGACGAGCGGACAATCTTCCTAATAAACTATGGGTTTCAACTGTTCGGTTGTCCCCATATGATTTTAGTACTTAGCCAACGGTTTGGCACCATGTTCGCTTAAGCAGTACCTCATCCGTTCACCCTCCGATCTTTCTTCTCTTGGACAAAGCAAGCCCAGATGGCAAATAGCGTACATAATCACCTGTGCCGTGCAGATGGACACCGACGAAGCCTGTTATGACAGGCAAATCGGAGTCCGGACGCTAGCCAATACAACGATGGAGGCGTTGTCTGTTGTGTCAAATTGAAATTTGTGTGACACGTGCGAGTCCCAAAATAAACGCTATGCTCCTGAGTGGTGAGCATATCTGCAAATCATCGCATATTTCTACTGAACAGGGCGGCAGAATTGAGATGCAAACGAAAGCACATTGATCTGGCATACTGGAATTCGATCACAAGATCCGCTGTCAGTTGTAATCCGGTAAAGCCAAAGGCGTAACATGCAGTAACGTACGTTAATGGGGAGAACGACTGTTAATTCATTTGGTTAGTCCCTAATTTGGTGCTTTGTACTACATAGAGAGGAGAAAGCCATTTTCATGAACAGCGATTAACACCCGCGTTGGAAGGTGGGGAAATTCTCTAAAGGGACTCTAATAAATAGTTAAGTGATTGGGTCTCAAAGGAATACGACTACATGAAATGGACTTGTCACGGAACACAATACAGGCTGGGTAATGACCTAATGCGGAGCTTTATGATGTGAAGTATGCTTAGAATAAGTGCACCAATTAATATTGAATAGTATATCAAGAAACCCCCTGAATAAGGGGTATTCCCCATTCAAGGACACTGCGGCTCTTGAACATAGGAGCCCGTTCATCTTTGAAAGGGGAACTGCTCTAAACTCAGAGGGAGCAGCTTTTGGGGTGTGTAACTTTGGGGCATTAGTAATAGAGTACAAGAAACGACATCGGCGATCTTTCACGGTCAACGAGAAACCCAACGCAATCAGAATGCCACCTACAAATACGAGAGTAAAGAACCACCGGAAAGGGGCGAAGCTTAGGCCGCTAACTCAGTAGGTATTTCCCCTAAAAAATGTACGCCAGTTAAGAATAAGTCTAGAAATGATCATTCCTAGGGTAGAACAAAAAGTAGGCTCTCAGGTATTGATTGGTATCTAGAAAAACAGTTAGAAATCAATGACGAACCGAAGAAAGCATGATGGAGTGTTGAGAAGACTTTTGTTAATGTATCAGACTGCAGAAAATGCACAAATTTACCTTTCTTTTCCTTGTGGACAGGACTTGGAATGGAAGGATGTGTCCACCTTGTCGGTCCCAAGCCACAACTTCGGCGTCCAGAATGCAGCTTTCCACAGCGGTACTTTTTGAGTCAGCTTCCGAACCCATGTGCTGAAGAGCAGCCTCAGTGAGTTTCGCGGATTTCAAGACTCGAGGCATTAATGTGTTTACAATGTCCGGATATTTTGAGGTGTTGTCCTCCTGATTGCGTGAATACACACGGCAAGTTCGGGGGTCCAAAACGTGGATCTATATAGGGATTGTCAGTTACATCACTTTGTATCAGGGGGGTTGAACCTCACATGATAATCAAACAGAGTATAAGGTCACGGGGTCTGGTCTTAACAACAACTAGACCGAACAGGTATGCTAATAGAATTCGAAGTACCGATGAAGTTTTACCTACCTCGGACTTCAGTTAGACAGAGAAGCTCTTGTTCAGGACTAAATGCACGTGAGCAGATTCCACATTCTGTGAGGACTAGAGCTCAAGGGAATTCGAGTGCACAGCATCATCAACCTACTTACAGTTCATTTCATGTGGATTCAGTGCAATATTTCCGGACTGACCCAGGACGATCGAACCCGTTCCAAACCTTATTCATTAGTCGCATGCTAGACCAGAAAATCAGCAGTCAAAGAGACCCAAAAATTGAAAAGTAAAAATATCGTCAAAAGTCCCACTTCAGAATCGAAATGACAGGGACTTTGGTGAGGCCACAGGCTCCGGAAGCGAACCAGCCACAGGTGAACGAAGTTCACCTGAGTCGGCAACTACAATAGCACCTGGACACTGAAATTATGGCCCACCCTTTCAGGATAATGTCTATAAGACCTTTCGCGTGCTTGGTCAGCGCTGCTGTAAGATGATATCACCATAAGCAGAAGTCGACTATGCTCACTTTACCAAGTTTAATTCAGGTTATTTGAGCACATGGAGCCGGCGTGGGTACTTGAGATTTTTGTGGCACGCTAGGGTAAGGTTCTTCGTTTTTCTCCCCAAATCAACGAAACAAGGGTCTACGTTGCCGTTCACGACGATTAGAAAGGGGAGGATTTGCGAGATAGTTACGGTGGATAATCAAGGGAAGACGATCAGGCAGAAACTTATGGATGATTTTTATGAACGATTTATGACCCCGTTCGTTCAGCTGTAGCACTCCTTCGGTGCCTAGCTACCATGCCACCCGAAAAAAAAACACGAGGACTGGGATACTGCCAGGTTGTCCAAGTCTAGACGGGGGAATTCGAGAGCCAGAGGTCGGGTTCGAACGACGGGCCTTCCGGTAAGTAAATTCGCGTTCTAACCACTTAGTCCATTATGACCCTAACAATCAAAAAGTGACCCAGAATGTCTGCTACCCGCAAGCTACTTAATTCACAACCAAATACGTACTTGAGCACGTTCTCCGTCGTACTTGTATTCGCACGTGAAATCAGCCTCGTCGAAACGCTTCAGCACATCCACTACGCCACGAGTCGGATGAGCCAACATGGGTTTGACCGGCATACCGGGGGTGATAAAACAATGGAAGTGTAAGCCATCAGGACCGTCAGCCAACAGTCCAGCTACGAGCTTGTCGTAGTTTGGGCAAACGCTGGGTGGGAAGCAAACCGAAAGATTGCCGGAATTTTCAACAACAATTACATATGAACCATATGACTTTGTCTCAGTACAAATAGAAAGGCTTTCTGAAATGATTGTGAGCCTTAACAACTAACATACAATCCACAAAGAAGAAATTAAATGTTTTTAGGGCAACTACTGCATCCTACTTGATTGAACCCTAAAAGTGTGGTGTCACATACACGCACGGTACCGTTGTCCAGCCACAAGCATTAACTCACAGCTGAAACACACTGTTTCAGGCGTTCCACTTTGTATATACATCAGCGCTCACACAATAAGAGATGTGAGTCCCTGTTAAAAACTGTAGTTGGCTGACATACGTTCCTTAGAAGCCCTATGATCCCAGGACAGAACAACTGTGGTTATGCACACACTGAGTGTTACTGTCAGAGACGATTAGGAAATGAATCACCTCACTAACGTTCTAGGGCATGAAGAGTTCCGGACAGAAGGGTAGTGGGACACAAATATGGCCGTTCGGACCCACATGCCTTTAGCAAAAGACAAGGTCACACATAAACGCTACAGAAGTGGTTCTCTACGTTAGGGAAAACCCCAGCACGCTTGAAGCGTTTCGAGCAACCGCATGCACACGTGCCAATTGGCGGTCCATTGATGAAATAAGTTACATCTGTTTTGATAGTTTCACCCGGATGAAGGTCAACGCCGCTACCGACGGAGGTTGTTGTCGACTATTGTGAATAGTGAACTGATTTGTCTTGTTTACTATGCTTCGCCTTATGAGATCCTCGTCGTCTAAATTTACAGAGGTTGTTGTACATTTCCCATATTGAGAGAACCAGTCCAACGCGTACACAATAGGACGTCTGTGCTGGTTGAGCGCGTCCCTCATTACGACACCACTGCATAGTTTCACTTTTTCTCAAGCTAGTCATGACGTAAAACCTTTGCCATAATGAACAGAATTAGTGGATTCCCCGCACATCATCATTCGGAAAATTTACTGCCGTTCGCATTGGGAAACGATAAACAACTAGCAAACAACTTTAAGGAACATCCGTATCCGTTGAAAGCCATTTTCAGTGTAGTTATGCACAGTTAGTTGAATGGCCTAATTCATAATCGAGACTATCCTGGGGCTCCAGATATCTCGGCGGTTCAGTCGCAGAGATTCTCGGTCCAAATCTCCATTACTCCAGCTTAAGTTTGGGAAACATGACAGTAGCTTGGCCCTGGGACTGAATGGAAACTATGCGGTTTAAGAACGCTACAGCTCGCTGTTTGACACCATTATGGCAACCATGTCAATTACATGACATACACTTAGCTTGTTAGCTACTTTGCATCACCTGACAAGTAAAAAGTGTTCGATGCACAGTTTGGGCATCGCAGTCCCAGTGGTAAGTGGCACTGCCGCAGCTGTGCCGCAATGTGCTGTGGAGAGAACTAACATTGATAAGGCACCTTAGTAAGAACATTCAGTCATGTTACCTGACTGAAGACGTAAGGTAGGATTACCTACAGCAGCAGGCATAAGTGTGCACAGAAAATAATCATAAAATAACTGGGGAGTTAAAATCATCCCGAGGCTCACCAGTATGCTTTTTTTACATTCGCCACACAAACTTCAACACGAGCTTTCCATTGTTCGTTCGACACACCAGTGCTCACGTCCAACAGACGACTAGGAACGCCCACTTTCACAGCTGCCGCCGAATGGAAGGGTGTGATCGCCGCGGCTTGCCCAAGGGCAGTCAGGACGCTCTGCTCAGCCAGACCAATCCGAAGTTTTCCGGATAGACTACGGATCAAGTACTTAGCTTCACATTCGCGGCAGGCAACCAGAAGAGAACAGATCTTCTCAACTTTTTTGGCCTGAGACTAAATTGATAGAAAGAGGAATGCGAGAGTTGGGAGTGTTTTAATTCCTGAATGAACCAGCTAAAATATCGTAACAGTCCTATGATTCCGTTGGAATCCTAGACAGCCGTCTACTGCAACATTTCCATAATTGGAAACAGAGAGCGAGGAAAACGGAAGTACCATGCTCATTTTCTATGAAAGGGCCCACACAAGAAACAACTAGAGTGCAGCCCAGAAAAACCATTAGAACGATATCAAAATAAGTTGAAAATGGGGCGGTGTAAAGAAATAGCAGGTTAACGGCGAATTCACGGCTTCAGTCATTCGCGAAGTTGCCGCAAAAACCTAACTGGTGTTAGAAGGAAACCCTGCACTTAATATTTGCAATTTTCTGCACGTTTTCCCCGTGGAGATACATAATTTTTAACGCAGTTTAGCACTACATTATTTCGAATGATACAACCTAATCGTTTTAGGATATAAACAACGTCGCGAGTCTACCTAAACCCCCGTACAAAGTATAAAACCGTAATTCTTCTTTAGGACCACAAACCAAACACAAAATCACCGTAAAAAAACACGGCTTAATGAGGCTATCCAAAAGAGGGAAGTTGGTTGTTTGACATTTTGTGATGGTGCCCAAAATCCCCGCGAAGCCCAGTTCATTCCCTGTAGCTATCCTACTTCTTTCCTTAACTAATCAGCATCAACAGAGGCCAAGCCCTTGAAGAGGTTTCAAACGCTATAAGAGCGTTTAAGCTTGAAATGCCTTAAGGTTTAAGGAGCAAACTTACTGACCGGAAGGTCCGTGGTTCGAACCGAACCTCTGTATCTCGACTGCTTGGGCAACTTGGCAGCATCTCGGCTTTCGGTGACATAGCAGCTACTGACCGCTAGAGTGGTACAGTTTGGACCATCATCCTAAACATCAGACCTAAAGCCGCATCCTAGTTGTGGTGGTCGGACCTCCGCGCTGCATTGATGCTGCGGGCTACAATGGCTGAAATTCAGTTCCTAAGGGTTCAAACATGCCAGAAAGGTCAACTGAACGCAGCTCTACGAAGTCCAAGGACTGTGAGTAACCGTATTCCGAGGCACTCTCGAGGTAAAGTCGTACTGTCCTCTACGATAGGAGTGTGAAGGCAGTTAGGCACTTCCTCCATGCGACCAGGATCTCCATATTTATGGAAGCAGCGATGCTGACTTCCACCGATGAAGGAGGTTAAAAGAGGTCGGCCCTAGAAGCTGCACACTCCGATCACCCAACGGTTGACCGTGACCTGTCGGTGCATTATTCAGTAGAGCCGAAAAACTTTTGGGACCAACGAGTTCGGTAGTAATAAAAAACATCTGCTGTACGCAGCTGCATTAAGAGTGGGACAGTAATGCCTTACTCCCTGTATCCTCGGACCAGACCGACCCCCTGCAGCTAAGTGGGTCAGACCATTGAGTCATCCACTCCGGGAAGGGTCCTCCAACAAAACCCCAACAATCGCTAACTCGTGCTTCAGATTTCTGAGTCAGAGGCTAAGGAAAGGGTCTCAAAACAAAACCATAGCCCTCCCACTACCTTGTGGGTCAAACTTTTGAGTCAAAGGCTCAAGGTGGGGTACCTCAACTAACCCCCCGGTGATCCTGAAGCAATTGTCAGTAATATATACGGTGTGGAATTCAGACTCAACTACAAAGATGAAAGAGCCTTACGGAACTGGATACGAGTAAGCAATCATCTTCGCGCTGTGCGGTCGTCTGGCTCAATTAAGAGGTAAACGGTGTTTATTTGTCGCACCGGCATACAAACCGACAGACTGCAGTTCTGAGACTTAGGATGGGTCTTACCGAGACCCGTCGCAAATGCTTCCGTTGGCTAGAAGGACGAATTCAGTAGTCCTGGTGGGTGATACGAATGTCCAAGTTGGACGACTATGTCAGGAAGAACTTCAAAAAAAGTGGTATATTTGGAGTCGATGTTCAGCTTACGGATAATGAGGTGCTGATAATCGTCCTTTCCTAGCCAGTACGAATCTCCAACACAAGCGCTCACATCGAGTTGATTGGAAGCCACCAACCGCAAGACAGTCATGGACTCACTTAGGAGATGCGGCTACCAGTTACCGATGGAGAACCTCAAAAAGACTGTCGCTCATTCTGAGGTATGCAGCTTGGTTCTGATCATGACAATCTGCGAGCTCGATTATCACCGGGCTTTCCGTCAGAATTACGCGTGCCAAAGTAGAGCAACTCCAATCAGCTTTGACATGTTTCTGCAGCTCAACAGTATCAATCTTATCCAGGTAGATAGCTACTGCGGATGACGAAGACTACTTAGAGGTCGAGTGGAAGTGAGTTAAAGAAGCTATGAGCTCAGCCTTCAGAATTATTTGTCCAACCAATGAACCATGGATATCATCGAGATCATCAGGTCTTACTGCCACCAGAAACAACATACTAGCAACTAGCGACTGCGACGGCTCACGTGGGTCCCTCAAACATCGTATAATCAGTAGCTTGAAAGATGGCCGAGAATGCTGGTGGAATTCCAAGGCCCATGTGATGGAGAAGGCTTTCGCTGCAAGCAAAAGTCGTGCCCCATTTCATCTGATTCGATCAACCGGTCAGAAGGAGTGTCGGAGAAACGATATGCGGAAGAGATGGAACGATAATTCACTCACAAAGTCGTCGTCTTAAGCGATGGGCTCAATACTTCAAAGGAGAGTTCAACTAGTCTCCCAACCCATGGAGGAACCAGCCTGCCCCCAACAACAGGTCCTCGTGAACAGGGTGGCAACCATACTGCAAAATACTTGGAACGAAAACAGAATGTCAACCGAATAGAGCTACCAGACCATCATCGCAGTTTCCAAGAAAAGCGCAAGAATGTCATGCGAAAACCATTGAGGCCTCAGTCTGGTATCCATCGCATCTAAGCTACTCTATGGAAGTATTTTGCGTAGGCTGACCGATTATCAAGAGAGACAGAATCGTAAGAATCAAGCTGAGTTTCGCCCTGGTCGAGAATGCATCGACCATATCTTTATCTTGAGACAAGTTCTTGACAACGCTACTCCTTCAATTCCCACGTTGGTCGGTTTCCTTGATCTGAAAACTGCTTTTGACTCTGTCGATCGTCAGAAGCATTGGCGGTATCAGGCAATTAAAGGCGTCCCTCCAAAATTTATATCCCTTATGAGAGCTCTGTATTCGAAGTCCTGTGGGCGTCATCGAGTATATGGGAATACTTCGCCAGAGTTCACCACGTTCAGTGGTGTACGACTTTGTTATTGATGTGCTGTTTACAATTACTCTGCCTGTCTCTGAAACCACTGGGCGTTCGCTCACAGACATTGAGTACGCGAACGACATTGCCCTCTTTGATTCAGACCCTACAAAAACGCAAACGACTTTAAATAACCTAAGTAACTCTGCCGCACGCTTTGGCATGCGCTTCACACATGCAAAGTGTAAAGCGCTGCTAAAAGATTGAATAGGATCAGATCTAAACCTAGTGCTTGCAGACAAGCCAATCGACGTGGTAGAGAAATTCGCTTATCTGGGCAGTTGTGTAAGTTCCGGTGGACTGGCTAGAGATGAGACTATTTCTCGAATCGGGAAAGCCAGGGCAGCCTTTGACAACCTACATGGGTCGATGTGACGTCGGTTTGCCTGTCAGGGGCAGAGTTACACCGCGGCAGTGAGATCCATACTGCTTTATGGATCAGAGACGTGGCCTCTACGTGCGAAGAATATATGTAAGGTGTCAGCGTTTGACCATCGGTGCCTCCGAAGCATTGGTCTGGTCTGATGAGAACATCGGATTAGTAATGCTAAGGTAAGTCAGATGGTCTTAGGAAGAAGAAACTCTCCCATGACAGATGAGTTACTCACGTTCCATAAGTTACGCTGGTTGGAACATGCAAGAAGACCGTCTACCCCACACACCTCTTTTCACCAAGCTCTGCGCTGAGTGGAAGCAACCGAGAGATGGATAGTGTATGACCTGGCAACGAAGTATGAAAGCACTAAACAGTAAACTTAGTCGGGTCGGTATTGTCGCCTCCCTGGATGGGGATGCAGAGACTTAACTCAATGTCAATGACACCAGCAGAAATGGCCCGATCGCGCAGTCAATGGCGCCACTGCATCAAAGGTACCGCCTCCAATGCGTAGCTATTCAGTTCTCGAACTAACTGAACATGCCATCACCTCCAGTATGGCAATATGTCCCACACTCACAATTTCTGGTGATCGAAAGCGTAGCAGTGGGAACCAGTGTGCCTATGGTACATTATTTATTTATTTATTTCCTTATTTATTTATTTATATTTATTTATTTATTTATTTATTTATTTATTTATTTATTTATTTATTTATTTATTTATTTATTTATTTATTTATTTATTTATTTATTTATTTATTTATTTATTTATTTATTTATTTATTTATTTATTTATTTATTTATTTATTTATTTATTTATTTATTTATTTATTTATTTATTTATTTATTTATTTATTTATTTATTTATTTATTTATTTATTTATTTATTTATTTATTTATTTATTTATTTATTTATTTATTTATTTATTTATTTATTTATTTATTTATTTATTTATTTATTTATTTATTTATTTATTTATTTATTTATTTATTTATTTATTTATTTATTTATTTATTTATTTATTTATTTATTTATTTATTTATTTATTTATTTATTTATTTATTTATTTATTTATTTATTTATTTATTTATTTATTTATTTATTTATTTATTTATTTATTTATTTATTTATTTATTTATTTATTTATTTATTTATTTATTTATTTATTTATTTATTTATTTATTTATTTATTTATTTATTTATTTATTTATTTATTTATTTATTTATTTATTTATTTATTTATTTATTTATTTATTTATTTATTTATTTATTTATTTATTTATTTATTTATTTATTTATTTATTTATTTATTTATTTATTTATTTATTTACTCGTTGGCAGTGGCATATCAGGAGGTTAAAGTACCCCACTGGCTCCGTAAATGAGGCACAAACGTTAAACTGGCATGTCATTGCGGGATAAGTGAAATCACGGCATACTGTACAAAAAACTCACGCAAGAGATCAGGGATACAGCATTGGTACCAGTAAAAACAGCGTTAATGTTTAAGTGCTTCAACAGCACATTCACTGCTTACGTTACAATAATAGCTGTGTGTACAATTTTGAGCAACTAAAAAATCCATGATTTTTACCAAATCACGGGTGTTCTTGAGCTTGTAGCCAAAAGACGAAACCAAACTTGAGAAAAAATTATTCAGCTGTAACACCCTTTCGGTGCTTAACTACCATGCCACCAGAAGGAAGCACGACTGGGATGGTGCCAGGTTGCTCAAGCCTAAAAAGGGGAAGTCGAGATGCACGGGTCAGGTTCGAACCATGGACCTTCCGGTTGGTAAATTCGCAATTTAACCACTTGAGCCATCTCGCCCCATAGTGTATCAAACAACTTGAATAGGGCACTGCTGTTGTAGAGGATAATCTCATAAACCTCTGACCGAGCACAGTGCACAGTAGCCCGTTTTTTAGAATGCACAGAACAACTAATAAGCGTGAGTAATACTATGTAAGTAGGCAATAACAACAAAAGTCTCGCCATTTGTAACATATCTTGTTTATCCACAAAGACTAGACTGCATACGACCGAAAGCTTTTAGAAAACCTGGAATCCAAGGTGAGTGTAAGCGAAAAAACAGGGAGATGTTGAAGCCGAGAATCAAACAGGCAATTAGTCGAAAGTGAGAATACAACAGAGTGATGTGAAATCACATTTGCCAAACAAAAGAAAAAAGGATTTCGAACTCTAAGTAAGACGTAACTCAGCCTCTGAGTAGCCACATAGGAGTGGTGCGTTTGTACACTAAGCGGTTAAAACGATCAAAACGTCCGGTTCACATTAAATTACTGAGTTAGGTTACAGTTTCTGCCCATTCTAATGTACGGATAATGGAAAACTGTGATCAATAGCGCAAAACTGCCTCTTCCCTAAAAGACACGTCTTGTGGTACGCCACGATTTTACGGTTCGTTTTGCATAGATACTTTGTAAACCGTCGATCGCTTGATTCGGTTGGCTTTTAAAGGGCAGAACTTAAGTGTTTTCTGAGGAAATATCCCTTAACACATCACACAAAACGGATTCGTGGCAATGAGTAAGTGGGTACTTACAGAATTTCCCGACATTGACGCGATTTCTTTCAATTTGCTGAACACCATGGAAACAGTCAAGGGTTTGGGAGTGAACATGGTCTTCTGACGAGAACGAATACTCTGCGGGATAAAACAATGTTAGACACCAAAATGCACGTTAACGTTTCCAGTGCAGAGGCGTGTATCGGCCATTCAGTGTTTCGAGGGGGGAAAGAGTAGACAAAGTGGTACTTCATAAAGTTAGGTTTGTTTCATACCCTGGAGTTATGAGCTAGAGATATCAGAAAACGCTTTGTAAGGCATTGTTGACTGCAACTAATGTCTGTGAATGGCAGGATCCAAGCAACCCACTATTCATCTGCAACAACCTTTCGATGTCTAGCTGTCATGCCACCAGGGGAGGTCCTATAGCTGAGCTACTGCCAGGTTGCCTAAGCCAAGACAGAAGTAGTCGAAATGCTGAGACTGGGTTCGACCAAAGGATTTTCCTGTCAATAAACCTGCGCCTTAACTGGTGAGCTATCTCGAGCCCGAAGTACAAATCGAAACACTCAGCATCCTTTGCGAATCCCACAAACCAAACACAAAGACAGACAAGCTTTAGCCAGACAGTCCGGCTGAGAGATGACAGTAAGCTCATCATTGGAATCGACCACCTACCATGTCTGGTGTAGTTTGCAAAAACGTACAAGGAGGATCAAATGGATCCTACCTGAGAAGGCACAAAGACTTCCCCATATTTAGCTCCATATAAACCGCTCTCATTTCGCCAAGCTCTTGTTAGCGAAATGGTCACAGAGGACAGAAACGGCTTGTGACCAAGGTTTCAATCGGTTGGTAAATCAGAAATAGTTTCCAAGTTATTCACGTAATTTTATTAACGCAGTTTTACTGCACTTATAATGTAGGTTTAAAAAATCGTTCAGCTGTAGCACCCTTCCGGTGCCTAGCCGCAATGCCACCCGAAGGAAGCACGAGGGCTGGGATACTGTCAGGTCGCCCAAGCCTAGGCATGGGAAGTCGAGAGGCAGCGGTCGGGTTCGAACCACAGACCTTCCGGTCAGTAAATTCGCGCTCTAACCACTTGAGCCATCTCGCCCCCAACGTAGGTTTAGTTTATTATCGGTCAACCTAACCCTACTTCTGATAGCTTCTCATTCGCGTTCCTTGAACTGGGATCATCAAATGTTTACTTGCTTATTCTGGTCGTTCCAACCAATTAAGCGAACTTTATCACGTGACACGACCTGAGGAAACGTTGCAAGCTCGCCCTTTCATTTATCCGTCCTATATAACACCGCGGGAATAGCATTGAGGTGCGAACGAACGTTCTGCCTTAGGCTGTTTTCGAAAGTACAATCCAACTGGTATGTGCAACAGCCACTCAGAATTTGGCGTCCAACACCACCAGCAAAGCTTCCCTCCAGTCAGTTTCTTCCACGCGTGCAGTCAGAGCAGGCTGATTTTATCTGAACGATCTTGATAGGTAGCTCTGAAGTGAACCATCTGTGAGCCCAAAGGTATCTCATCGGATCCAAATAAAATGCAAATCTGAATTGAGCCTCGTCAAAAATTTAATGCACACATGGTAGTGTGGATAAAAGGCAGATGAAAATATCCGTGGTAGCTGCGCATTTGATGTCGAGTGAGTTCCTAAAAATAGGAGACCGAACAAGAAGCGCTTAGCACTGAATAAAAAAGCGACCAATACTGTGTTGAACAAGTCGTCAGTGTTCAAGTGCCAAATGGTGTTTTTTCCGTGGGGTCTCTTTGAACTTACCTGATTGGTTTGAGTCGTAGATAGCTTAGCGGTTCGGGTGCGAAGTAAACGACAGGAAAGTCTGGTTTTCGAACCCAACCCTGGCTAACCAATTGATCCCGTCTAGACTGGCTTCACCTGACAGTATATCCGCCTTCGTGTTTCCTACCTGCACGACAGCTTTGTACCGGAAAGTACACCGTTTCAATGATTACCATTTTTTCAACTTAATTCCGTTTGTTGTTTGACAGGTGGTTGATATTTATGCGCTTATGTATCAGCATCGCCCAGCAAACGTCTGATCCAGTGCTGAAAGTAGTGTTCCAAGCAGTTGAAGCTTGTGATGAAATTCATGTCCCCCCTGTGACCACGTTGATGAATTGGATGGCGCTACGTGTATCATCATATAAATAGGCGAGATTGTATCTGTCTGAACTATAGGTCTCAACGGTAAGCAGATAGTTCAACGCATCAGGATACAGTGAACTTAACTTACACAAAGCAATTTGCAGGACTGAAAAACTGGGTGGATGTGAACTTCGCTCACAAGATAGAAATGAAGTTTTTCAATGTCTGTCAGTTCCGGCTGGCTTACACGTGTAAATAAGATTTAATTTAAGCGAGTGGAGCTGCAGATATAGTCGAATCCTATTGGTCGATCAGACGCGACGACATCAAGTCACAAAATCACACTAAACTCCCTGGGGTTAGGAAACAGTTCAGAATGCAACAGAGCTGCCTCTCACTGTATACTGTCAGATCTACTACGCCAGGCAACCAATGCCAACTGAATCGTTCCAAATTCAGAGGGATTCCACGCTCCCTGCGTTAAAGAAGTTTCTTGGCTTGAGAACACATCGTATATTATGACCCGCTGGAATCTGTGAGTTTGTCGGTCAACAGGGCGGAAATCCTTGGTGCAAATTATCGGTTTTAATTTTCTGCGCTTAATTAGACAGCAGTCTCCAAAACAAGTGTTTCCAAGTGGAAGGAAGTCCGGTCACTCAACTTAAAGAGTATCTCTAGTGAGGGTCCCATCCCTTACTTGAAACCGCGGCTTTGGCTGCACAGCTAGGGATCCATTGAAAAATCGCTAAATTGGGCACCTAAATAAGTAGGTGCCAACATGCCAACTGCCACCAGCCATTAGAACAGGCACCTTCAGTTATCGGGCTTATACGGATAGGTTGCGCTCAATCGCCATCGGACTACTCCGATTCTGATAAGACGAATCATGGTAGGTTATCCTGATGCAAACAAAACACGTCAAATCAACCCACGTCAAGGAAACCAGTCAGCTGATGCAATGGCAGTTGTAGATCCAGAAAAGTACCGTTTTGCTGAAGTCACTACATATTATGCTCCAGTCAAATCAACCCACGTCAAGGAAACCAGTCAGCTGATGCAATGGCAGTTGTAGATCCAGAAAAGTACCGTTTTGCTGAAGCCACTACATATAGTTTATGCTCCACAGCGAAATGCACAAAGGGCACAATTGAGTAAGTGTACCGGTGTACGTGATTCCCTTCGGCAGGTCTTCGAAATGGGATAAATATAGCACGGGATTTACGTCGGTCCAGCTTTGTACTGGGTTTAAGTGCGGTTGATCATGAAATGAGATCCTAAAGCACAGGTCAAGGACTGGTGGCTGCAATATTATATATATATATATATATATATATATATTCCAGGACATGCAGATATTTTATCATGTACACAAACAAATTGAAATTATGA